GGTGTCTGGGTGGAACGTTGCGGTGTGGGATTCTAGTGTGCAAGGGTCCTATTTGCGATTACCATTTTCGGCTACGTTGATGGGGCAACCCCATAAAACAGCACGAGCTGGATGACGTCTGGAGGTGGACAAGACACTAGCGCCATCAGATAATTAATATTAAAAGATATCGAGGCGGTCAACGCGAGCAGTGAGAAAAATGGCTGGTATATAGCTAGCTAATCTTCGCAAAACTTCACAATCTGGAACGTCACACTACATTCGCTTCGCTTGAAATCGAGATTTGTCGTTTCTGCAATCACCTATCGTGAGCGAGCTGCCTTGTCACGTCCATGTCTGCCCAATCCTAGACCACCTAGCCCATTATGCCGAAGACCTGACCGAGGCGGAACTTCACGAAGTTGCCCATCAACTTCGTCCAACGGTCTCGTCGTGGTCGACGTCACAGTACACATTGGGACGTGAATGCTTAGGTACTGGAATAGCGGCCTGAGGTGCGGTGGGTCGAGGCTGCTCCTATTCACCACGTGCTGTTATACCTTCAGCACAGCAGTGCATTGGCAACCGAAGCTTCCTGCAGCAGCAGCGTAAAAGAAAGCCGAAAAAAGCCGGTATGGTTCATGTTCATACAATCACCGCTAGGTCCTAGCTTTTCTCTAGTAAACGCTGCTGATCCAGGGATTGTTTGCCAGCAGGCCCAGATCGCCAGAAGTCAAGGCTGGCAATAACATCATTGCCCAACTCATCTTCGTATGCATATATAATCTACGACAATTAGTGCTGCACAAAATGTGTATCATGGTTTCGAGCAGACATACCTCGCTAGTCGATGTGTGCAGCCATCGGATGTTCTTCGCTGTGACGATGTGTACCAAACCGCCGCTCTCCATGTGCCGGATCTCGATGAAGCTAGGCTCAAACGCAAGGATGTAAGGGTTGAAGATGGCGAAAGCTTGTGGTGTACCTTCCCAAGTAATCTTCCAGTCTGGACGAGCCCGCCAACCGTTCCTGTTAACAAAGAACGAGTAATCCGTGTAGCACAGTAAGAACTCGCCTCCCATTCGTTCGATGTGAATTGGCTTGATGTTTTCTTTGCGCACGACGAAGTCGAGCGAGGTATCTGCTTGATCGAGCAAGGACTGTGTTTCGAGAGTCTCGAGACTGACCACTTCGAAGCCGCGTGCGCAGCCCACACAGAGCTTTGAGCGCAAGAAATGGATCGACGTCGACTCGGTGGGGATGTAGAACTCCTTGTATGGCTTGAGCTGATCTTGCCCTTGTGATAGCATCTTCGCAAATCCGGATTTGCGTGCCTTGCCTGCCATGTTTTCCTTTGGCTCGTAGACTTTGATGGTAGTCGAGAGTGCAGATGTCTTGACAGTTGCCACAAGATTGTTGCCAAGGCAAATGCCAGACTTGAAGAAGTTGGCATGGCAGATCTTGCGAGGCCGCTTGGCGATGGCCTGGCTGTCATCTGGGTCCAGAGCTTCTGTCGAGTAGGAGTAGAGTGTCTTGTCAGCAAGAACAAGCACAATCTGGTGCTGTTCGAGCACGTCGATCTGCGTTACCCCCTTGCAGTCGAGCACACGGCGTGGCTTGATCGATGCATCCTTGGCCTTTCTCTCGACCACGTACACACCGGCGTCAGTGCCGAGAGCCATCTTGCGTCCACCATCCATGGGAACGGCACAAGTGACCCTGATCGATGGGTTGAAGAAGCCCTCATTCAAGATGGTCTTGGTGAAGATGTTGCTACGTTCGCGCAAGGTGCGTTGCTGAGCTTCGATGTGCTCCATCCATTTCTGTTGCGAAATTGCCGTACTTGCGTATAGCGTCAATTCGAAACCACCTTTTCCAAGATGCTTGAAGGTGATGGGGTAACCTTGCTGCTTTGTGGCATCGTTGCGACCACTGGGTGTCGCTGCAGCGATCGCTCTTGCGCCCATCAAGTTCGCGGATGGTCTCTTCGAGATGCCAAGTTTCGGGATGATCTCGTCCATTTGCGTTATCACAAGTAGCTCCAGTGGGATAGGCTTCTTGTAAACCTTTTGCTCTTCGCGCTTGTTCACGGTCTTTGCGCGTACAAGAAGGACAGCGTGGTCGAAGAGGTAGCATGTGATGTCGCCGGTCGCTTCCGTGGGTGTCTTCTTGAGGTTGCCTTTGAAAACCAACTGGCGGTTCTCGTCGGTCAACTTGAGATCAACGTACTCGTTGTTCCTGAATTTTAGATCTTTGTGGAGCTGCATCAAGTTGAAGTGGTTCTCCGCTTTGCCAGATTCCATGTTGACCTTTGATAGCGTCTCTTTAATTATCTTGATGACCTTCGGAATGTCCTCTTTGTCGGGGTCCTCATCGGCTGTGTATTTGACAATGTTCTCTAGAAGCAAGGGGTACCTAGCCAATCTTGTTGTGGGCTTCGTGAGATATCCGTTGAGCTCCAACTTCCTCGATTCCTTCATCCTCTCTACTTCATCGACAAACCGCATGAAGTGGGTGTTTGTGCGTTTCTCGTGCTCAAATTCGTACTTACCGAAGAGCTGGTTTGCACCATACTTGATGAAGGGAGCAAAATGTGGAACGTATTCTAGGAAGATGTCTCCAATACTACGTACGACGGGATCTTTTTGTTGGCGGCGCGTGAGTGCTTCAGCAAGGCGAGAGTTGACCATGTACACCTCCTGGCAGTTTGAGAAGACGGTTCGCACGAACTTCTCTCGCCGATGCTCTGGAATCGGAGAAGACTGAGGGTTGCGCAGTGGCTTCATCCAGAAGTCGCGTAGATACTCAAGATCTTTGACGAAATCGCGTTCAGTGTACATCAGTTCGGAGATGACCTCCTGACGTTTCCGTTCCTTCTCCGTAATGCTGTCTGAAACTTCTTTGGGTACAGTGTTGATCCACAGCTTCTGCTCCTCGTCATCTAAATCTTCGTGCAGACTTGCACGCGACTCTTCGCGTTTAAGACCGGGCTGGATCCTCATATTCAATCGCGCCTGTTGTTCCAGTCTTCGTGGACAGGCAATCGAGTAACACAAACGGTCGCGGGTGCAAGTGGGCGAGTAACATTCTGTCAAGAGCGTAAACACGCCATTGATCTCCGCCTTGTCTTCCATCATGGTCTCGCGGAATTGGTATATTTCGTTGGTCGAATCCCGTAATCGGTGAGCATAGGTCACATCATGGAAGAACTTTTGCGCATCCAAGGACCTGCCGAGGAGGAGCGCAAGATTGCGATCTGTGGTCTTGATGATATATGAGATCAAGTCAACTGCCTCCGCACCAGTGAAGGCGCTGCTGTACACAAGTCCATCCTTTTCTCTTTCTGAGACTTGGATGCGGTCCTGAAAAGTCTCAGCGACACGCGACAGCAAGGCCGGATAGACCAAAGGCGCTCGACGGTTTTGTGATGGGACCACCGCCTGTCCATTTTGCTGAGACTGGCTTGAGGCCCTGTTGTTGCTCGAAACCGTTGAAACCGTCTGGGTGGAACTGGGGCGGGTCATAGAGGTCATGGTATCAGTCCGCTCGGAAGGGGCTACGACCGTGGAGGCCATCGACATTGTTCGAGATTGCTGCGAGATGCTGCCCTGACTTGCATTCCGTGTTCTAGCTCCTGGGGCCATTGGCACCTGCGACCCACTAGGCGGCCTCTGTTCTCCCTGTACCATATCGTTTGCACCAGGCTCTTGCCGTCGGTTGGGGATGACTCTCCCACTCATTGTCTGCGTGTGGTCGACGTCCCTGGTATATGAACTCATCGACATGGTGCGCTCATCCGGTCGCTCAGGCACAACACGGCCCTGTGCAGTCGTACGTGCCATATGATTCATATAGGGCTGTTGTCGGAAGGTGTTCGCTTGTGACGGGTGGCTAGGGCCTGGAGGTGAGAACTGTGGCCGTGGCCCAAGGGCGAGGGACTGTGAGCGGTAGGGATCCGTGTTCATACCAGGTCCCGGCGGTCCAGGGAATCGGTTTGGGAAATTTGGCATCGGCTTCGAAAATGGCGGTTGGCCAGGCGGAGAAGTTCTTGGGTCAAACCGCTGTGGCTGGCCATACGGTTGGCGGTCGGGGCGAAGTGGGTTTGGGAGGTGCTGCGGCTGCGGTTGACGCTGCTGCTGTTGCTGCTGCTGTGGATGACCCTGTGCGTATCGCGGGTCTCCCGGATATCCGTTGGGAGGTTGGCGGTTGTATTGTTCTTGAGGGTCCATTGGGCGTTGCTGTGCAGGGCCGGGGCCATTGCGCGGATCATAATGTGCCTGAGGGCGCCGATCATAGCCATTGATCGGCTGACGCATTGGTGGAGCGCGCTGCATCATGTCGGCTGTCTGAGACGACATTGTGGCAGCGCGGTCAGTAGGTCTCATCTGTGGCTGTGAAGTCATTGTCTGAGAGCGGCCAGCCATGGAGGGACTGGCGCCGAATATGTTTGCGAATGCCGCGTCCCTTGCTCCTGTGGGCTGGCCATTTGCATTTGGCGGGCGCGCAAATTCCCGCCCCTGCTGGTTGCTGTAGTCCGCCATTTAGCCTCTTCAGTGCGCGATGGGCCCTAGAATAGGCCACGCATCCGCAGCTGCTGAGCGCTGGTGGAAGACTTTTTGGCGGCGTTTGCTGCGTAATCCGGGGTAGCGAAGCACAACGCGGCCAAGAGAGGCGGTTTGAGCTTGGCAGCAGCAACTGTGAGACGACGAGGTATCAATCCTCAATATCCTATTAAGAGCGACTATGTATAGATGCAGGCGGGGGTAGGTGGGTGTGAAGCGACGACAAACGGCGGGCGTGGATGACCGGCCAGCCCGACGAGGGGCTGCGCTGAGGAATCCGTGGGGCGATTGATATGGATCGTATACGGGGCAGCTATGAATGGGAAACTCTAGGCGGTGTTGAAGCCGTGGGCCGAGAGCAGCAGCCGTAGTTCGTAGCGGTGCTCGCGGCGGAGTAGAGACGTCCACGGGAGCGGGTGGAGGTGTTGTCTCCAGGGCTGTTGCATCTTAGCCTTGGCGGGCGAACCTCGCGGCACTAGCTACCTCCAGGGCGATCTCAAGGCTCATCGCCTCTCTCATCTACCAGCTAGCTCGAATAACCGCATCTCCGACACCACACCTTTCATCCCGCAGAGCAGACATCATGGCTTCTCACGGAGACAGCCTCGCGCCTGCGTTCGCGCCCTTCTTCGGCATGGTGAGTACCTTCAGACGTGTGATGACTTCATAGCTAACAGCTCCCAGAGCGGCATTGCCTTTGCAGTGAGTTCCCCTTACCATGACAGCCATCGAACTAAGACACGAACCTTGAATAGATGATTTTCGGATGTACGCGTTCCCTCGATCTCAGACACAAGCAATAGGAGCTGACTACAGATAGGCATGGGCGCCGCGTTTGGCACAGCAAAGGCAGGCATCGGTATTGCCGGTATTGGCACATACAGGCCCGACCTGATCATGAAGGTATGGATGCGCATACATGGCTGGGAGCTCTCGCTGACGCGCTGCAGTCCCTTATCCCCATTGTCATGTCCGGTATCCTGGCGGTCTACGCCCTCGTGATATCCGTCCTCATCGCTAGCGACATCAAGCCTCCGCCAGAGAAGAACTACTCGCTGTACGCCGGATTCTGCCATATGGCTGCAGGCTTGTCAGTAGGACTGTCTGGCCTAGCCGCGGGCTACGCGATTGGAATTGTTGGCGATGCTGTACGTTGAACCGTGCTACGTCGAGGATGCTCGGGCAGAAGCTAACGTCGGCAGGGTGTACGCTCTTTCATGCGACAGTCGAGGATTTTCGTGGGCATGGTCCTGATCCTCATTTTTGCTGAGGTCCTGGGTCTTTACGGGTCAGTACTCTCCAGCTACAATCCGGCAGTCTGATGCTCGCCAAGACATATCCTCACGCGCAGCACGTATACTAACTGTCGCCAGTCTCATCGTCGCGCTTATCCTGAACACAAGGGCCAGCGGCTGAAGAGAACAAAGACGGGATCATGTACGACTACTTAGTGTAAACAGTTGGCGCGAGCATGCAACATTTAGGAGTTCGGGGTTCACATCTGTATCTGCCTGTTTCCGGGCCGCGAACCTAATTAGAGCTGGACAGCCAGGTCACGCGGCCAGCGAGGATGCAGGGCGCTTTGGAACTTATATATGCATAGCGGTTGGGCAGCATCGTGCCGTATAAGACAGAAATGTATCAATTGGAACGTGTCTAGCATGGCAGGGCAGATTCTCGGAGAAGACACCGATTTCAAATATGCCAGTGTTTCGCCGGATCGAAGGGTCTACCGTGGTTCGCGGCGTTGTAGCCCGCGTCGATAATGGGCCCGATTTGGTCGCTGGTGTTTGCCGACGACCGATTGGCAGCTGTTCGAGTGTCACAGCCCCGTCGACGCAGGTGCGGCGTGCCACGCGGTCCATGCACCAAACAAAGCATGTTCGCACATGCATGCCATGGGGAGGTGAAGCTTGACAAGTGTGGGCGTGATTAAGGAGAGCGTTCCAGCAGGCTTGTCGAAACACGCCTCAGTCGAACAATTGGCAGATGCGGCGCCGAAGATGCACTCGGCCAGCCGTGCAGCAGTGCAGCAGGGGATTCACAGCTGACCACGGCTGCTGCACCGAGCTTCGTTGGAGGCGTACGGGTACAGGCGGTGGGCTCGTTCGCGCAGCCGTGCTGCCGGCTTGCTTTGTGTTAAGGTTCCCCACGCCTGCGTCATCTTGGGAGGATGCGCCTCATGTATGTAACCCCCGCCAGCTGTCGCGCCCCGGGCCTGCATCGTCGCCGCCCCTTGACATTCTGCCCGCGGTGAATGCTGCGACAATACCCATTCGGCTGCTCCGCGACCTCGCAGGCCGCCACCACGATTGCTTGCCGTCTGCCTGCTCAAACAACAATAGCAACAATAGCATCTGCCGCCCGGCCATGCTCTGAATAAGACCCGCAGTCTGCCCCTCGCTCGCTCCTGCCCTTCCCGCGCCCACGCCCAATACAGCAACCATGGCGACTACCATGAAGAGCCTACTACACCCGATGCAACACCACCGGGACAAAAAGGAGGGCTCGTCGCCGCACCACTCGGGCCCGCTGCACGACAGGAACGACTCGGCCATGGACCGCCCGCGCGAGGAGGAGAAGCGCACGCTTGCACAGTGGGAACAGCAGAAGGGCACCCTCAGTCCGGACGAGATATACAAGGATCCCGAGCAGAAAGTAGTCGGCCACTCGTCCAAAGTGCTGCGAGAAGAAGACTTTGAGCTCATAAAGACGCTCGGCACTGGTGCGCTCAGCTGCGCCTGGCAGAGGGACTCGAACGCTGACAGACGTCAGGCACTTTTGCGCGCGTGTGGCTCGTGCGACTAAAAGACGCCAAAGCCGAGGACGAGGACAAGGTCTTTGCGCTGAAGATCCTGCGCAAGGTGGACGGTATGGAGGTCCTCGAGGCCCTCGAGGCCGCAGTTGCAACACCGCTAACAGCCATGTCGCAGTCATCCGACTAAAGCAAGTCGAGCACGTCCGGAACGAGCGCAATGTCCTCGCCAAAGTCGCCGGACACCCCTTCATAACCACCATGGTCGCTAGCTTTCAATCGCTCGAATCACTGTACATGGTGGTATGTCGCCTGCCTTTACTCACAACCTCGCCCAGGCTGACCCTTGACAGCTCGACTACTGCCCCGGTGGAGAAGTCTTCAGCTACCTGCGAAGAGCGCGACGCTTCAACGAGCCCACCTCACAATTCTACGCTGCCGAAATCGTGCTAATACTAGAGTTCCTCCACGAACGAGAAGGCGTCGCATACCGGGATCTGAAACCCGAGAACATTCTCATAGACGCCGAAGGTCACCTTAAGCTGGTCGACTTTGGTTTCGCGAAGAAGGTGGAGAATCGTCAGTACACACCTCTCCACGAATCAAGCCGGATGTTAACTTGACCAGGGGAGACCTACACACTGTGCGGCACACCCGAGTATCTGGCACCCGAGGTCATAAGAAATACAGGTGGGTCTCTTGCGTACCAGCTCCTCCGGATTCAGCTCACACAACCAGGCCACGGAACCGCAGTCGATTGGTGGGCATTCGGCATCCTAGTCTACGAATTCTTGGTCGGCCAACCACCCTTCTGGGACCAGAACCCCATGAAGATCTACGAACAGTACTGCGCACTCTAGCTGGCTCTGTAAAGTCACTAACACCTCGACAGAATCGTAGAAGGCAAAGTGCGCTTCCCCTCGGCCATGTCCTCGGACGCGCGCGACCTGATCTCCGGCCTCTGCACCGTCGACACCTCCAAGCGCCTCGGTAACATCAGCGGCGGCGCCAGCCGCGTCAAGTCACATCCGTGGTTCAAGAACATCGACTGGGACCGCCTGTACAACCGCGAAGTCAACGGGCCCATTGTCCCGCACCTCCGCGGCCCGGCCGACACGAGGAATTTCGACGAGTATGAACCGGAGAGCAGCCATCGTGATGCATACACCAAGGAGCTGAGCGACAAGTGGGACGAGAGTTTTAGGGATTTCTAAGTGGTGAGGGGAGAGGAGATACGACTGGGCTGGCGCCAATTAGATGCGTTACGAGCGAAACCAGGAACAGCAAAAGAGACGGAAGCACGACATGATCGTGACAACTTGACGATCCTTTCAACGAAGCGAATCATACTAGCACGGGGGGGAAACACTGGCGCATGGAAACTCCTTCTTGCGCGCTACGTTGCATCTGCTAAGCAATGCACGAATTGGATATCTACGAAAGCATATTATTCCCCTTTTGCCTGCACCACCACGATTGACGATACTGTACATTACCACTTCTGCACAGACACTTGTCGAATTCAATACTAGCAATTTGATCATGTTTGGTGGGTAGGTGGGATGGGCTTTTCTTTATTTCACTTCTTCGCTAGGTTACTTGGTTTCGGAGGAGGAACGGAAGTACTCACGCTGAAAACCACCGCCCGATATCCTCACTCCCACTCCCAATAGTCTCACTCTTACTACTCTCACTCCCACTCCCACTCCCACTCCCCCTCCACACAACACCCACAATCCACTTCCACCCGCCCAACCCCACCCCCTCCTCCTGTTCCCCCTCTCCCTCCCCGCCCTCCCCATACTCCTCCAACAAACTCGGAAAACTCGTGAATCCAACCTCTCTGCAAGGTCTCTTGGCGTTCTTCTTGAACTCCCGCAGGCATGAGGTACACGCTGGGGAAGTCTGCGTGGGGCTGAGGATGTACGAAGCTGTGAGGGTGCAGTTGGGGCAAGTTAGGAGGGTTGGTGTAGACAGTGGAGATGGGGGCGTGTGTGGTGTACAAAGACGCATGGATCGCGTGCGTGTATCGAGGGCGATACTCGGAGGTGTTTTCGACGGCGTGGTGCTCGTGGTCAGAAAGATTGGGTTACTTGAACGACGGCGGATGGTGGGATGGCATTGTTTCTCGTATGGGGTTGGTTGTGGTTTGCTAGGGAAACGACGGGTTGTGTGTTTGCGGAGAAGGTGTTGAGAGGTGAGTATGAGGAGTCGGAGGATTACTGGAGTACGCCATAGAGGGGGTTGGGGTGGTGGTGATGGTGAGCGGATAGTGATGAGGTGCGTGAACCTGGGGGTGAAGAGGGTGGGATGTGGGACTTTGTGAGGTCACTTGGGGATTTGAAGGATCAAGGGTGGATGTTTTGAAGAGGGGAGAAAGAAGGGTGGTGATGCACAATGGTGGTGGATGCGAAAGTTGAGGACGCTGCCTGTGTTCACTACATTTTGGCATGTTTGTGGACATGGTCATGGTGGCGTTGTGATGAACGAGTGTGCTGTGTGCCAACAACGTGCGTGCTAACATCTTGTGAAGTACGATGGAAAGCGACGGGGGTGGCTAAAGCTACACATAGGGTGTTACCGTCGCAATCGAAGCCTAGTGATGCTGTGTATAGCTTCCAGCTGTTGGATTACCTTCCATCGTAACTCAAAACTTGTAGTATCAGCGTTGAGACGCGCAGGTCACGATACTGCGAGGTCAGCGAGCGTGACGCACTGTGCAAGCTCAGACTTCAGGCTGCTCACAATGTCTTCTTAAGAACGCTCGCAAGCTCCGCGGACACTATGTTGTGTACGTCAATTTGCTCGATGCGCTTGTCTCAGCGCAGCGTGGCCCTTGGTTTGCATTCAAATCTTCCTGCGCAGCTGAATCACCAATAGTCGCATGTCTCTGTAAGTTTCGCGTGTCGGAACAATCATATCAAATCCCGAATTATAGTGTTGACTGGTTCAGGTGTGAAGTCTCAAAGTTAAAGTCCGGTTCTGGAAAACGATAGAGATATGCCGGATATGGTCGGTCAACACAGTATTAACAAGAACAACGGATGTGGATGTGCTTGACGCTGATGCTGTAAGGATGTGACAGTGGAAATGAAAGAGGACGCCTTACAATCGCTTACCATGTTACGTTAATTCTCACCACCCAACAGACATGAGAACGTGTCAACACGTCGACACCCATTTTAGAATTGACAGATCCAAAGCTTGGACTGTTCAGCTTTCAAAGCGGTGCAATCTGGTCGAGACACGATAATGGTTGGTGCAGTAAACCGGATATTGGGCTGCATGAAGTTGCTGTGGCTGAGGGGGATCGTCGGTAGAGAGCCCCTTTCGTGAAGTGTGGCAAATGGACAAAAGCAAGCGCAGGCAAGGGACGACGGCCAGGCCATGCTTGCCATGAAGACGGCGGCAGAGACGAATGGTAAAGGAGAGAGTGCTAGCTCATGCTAGTAGCTCATGCTAGTAGGTAATGTGCTGTTCGTACTGACACTGGGGTAGCCCGAGCTCGTGCTTATTCGCGATGTCGATAGTCTCAGTCATGCCGATTGCGATGAGGGCAGTGAAACTGACAGCTCGCGCGCCAACGGCTCCAGCGGGCGTGAAACATGTTTGCTGCAGGCTGCAGGCTGTCTGAGCAGTCAGCGGCACGGCGGCAGAAGTGACGCGTGCAGCGCTGGGCGAGTGGCGAGATGCAGTGAAATACCTGTATCGTGGTGGAGGAGGAGTAGTACGCATTGAAGCGAGAGCACCTCATTAGAGCTACTGTGCCCGAACCTTGGAAGAACGACAGGCATGGTGCGAGGACAACAGCAGCGCTTTTTCTCTGCGCGTCCGCGTCTACTTACTTGACTGACTTGACTCCATACGCTCCTTTCCCTCGCCTGTAGTCGTGACTGTTTTCCTTTGTACTTTGTGCATCTCGGCTTCCGCAGCATCACCTGCCCGCGCCATCGCTAGATAACCGTTGCCATCGGCGATAGAGGGCTCCATCGCTCCCAATACAGCTCTGTCCGCGGCGCCCACCTGTCGCAATTTCTCCGCAGCACTACGGCCTCTGCGTCTCTCGCTCTCCTGGATGCACTCGGTTGTCGTTGGGTGCTCGCAGGCATGAGCAGCATCAAGACGCGTCTGCACAATGCTCGCGAGAAGTTCCTCCGAAGAAGCAGCGCGACATCCACAACAACGCGCTCTCTAGCATCGTCTGGCCGGCAGCGAACGAGAGCGCCCGCCCAAGGCCCCCTCAACGCTGCGCAAGAGCATCAGCCTCTCCAAGCTGCCCGAGGTGCGCAGCCAGGAGACGGACGACTACAGCGACAGGCTGGTCAGGTCGGAGATCCTGGGCGCTTCGACCGATCCGGCAGATCAGCGCCGCCAGCATTCGAGACATTCGACATCAACAACAGCCACACCCTCTGCATCCGCATCGAGCGCCCAGCCCAGCCCCTACACGCAGCAGCCACCCACTCCCTCGCCCTCGTCGCCCTCGGTCCCACGCGCCTGTCCAGCTGTCACGCTCGAGGAGCCCACGCCCATCCACCCGCCCGTGGTGCAGGCCGCCCAAGACCTGAGCCGTCACCTGCCGACCCCGTCGCCATCGTCTGCGGAGTCTAGCGAACACCCGTCTGAACTAGCTTCGCACGCATCCTCGAGGCTCACCCCACCAGGCTTCGTGCGCCGCCAGTCTGTCGTCGCCTAACGCCGATGCAAAGATAATCAAAACCCTGCTGGTCCCCGACACATCCACCGCACCACTCCAGACGGGCCCGCCAACAGCCACCGACTACTTTGGCGGAGCACCCGCCCACTTCAGCACCAGCATGCTGCACCGCAAGATCTGGGTCAAGCGGCCCAATGCCTCGGCCACCCTCGTGCAGATCCGGGAAGACGACCTGGTCGACGATGTGCGGGACATGATCCTGAAGAAGTACTCCAACTCGCTGGGCAGGAGCTTCGACGCCCCAGACGTGACGCTGCGCATCGTTCCGCGAGACACCACACGAGGAAACGAGAGGACTCTGGGGCCCGAGGAGGACATGTGCAGGACGCTCGACGCCTACTTCCCCGGGGGACAGCTGGTGACCGACGCACTCGTCATCGACGTGCCTCAACGACGGACCCCCAAGCCCTCGCCGCAGGTGCCCGTCTACTACAAGCACCACGACGACCACACCAACCACCAGACCGAGTACTTCCCGCCCATGCCCGTCGTCAATCCCTCGCCGGCTGCCCTGGGCGCAGATGCTCGTCTGCCGCTGCCCCACGCACATTCGATAGCCGTCCTCAACACCGGCCAGCTGCCCCCACTGCCATCACCAGGCGGCAGGACAGCGAGGGGTATCCACCACAGCGCCCGCCCAAAGTACCCGCGACACAACACTGCCTCGCCGACTATACTAGCCGGTGGCATCCCGTCCTCTGCCACGAGCGTCCGCCCTCCAAACCGACCGCGCCATGATTCCTCCGCCTCCGAAACGAAGCACTCGACTACCTCGAACAACCCAATACCCACACCCCCAGCACCCGTCGATCCGAATACCCGACAGCCATCGAACCCTCCGACTCCCCGCGTCGCCTCCCCACGACCGAGAAAGAAGGGCAAGAACAAGCAAATCATGGAGCCACCAAGCTTACCAGCCGGTCTGCTCGATGGCTCAGTGCCTCCCATCAACGTGTTGATTGTGGAAGACAACATCATCAACTTGCGTGTCTTGGGAGCATTCATGCAGCGCCTCAAGGTGCGGTGGCAGAGGGCAATGAACGGAAAGGAGGCGGTGACAAAGTGGAAGGCCGGTGGTTTCCATTTGGTACTCATGGACATTCAGCTGCCCGTGATGAATGGACTTGAGGCCACAAAGGAGATCCGCAGATTGGAGCGGGTCAACAGCATTGGCGTCTTCAGCAGCGGAAGCAACGAGGCGCCCAACAACAGATTAGGGGAGGACGGGAATGGTCCAGAAGAGCCGCAAAAGGATGACAAGCTGGGCGACAAGGGGCTCTTCAAGAGCCCTGTCATCATTGTCGCCCTCACAGCCAGCTCGCTGCAGAGTGACAGACACGAGGCTCTGGCGGCTGGCTGCAACGACTTCTTGACAAAGGTATGTCATGACGCTGACTCTGAGCATCATTGTTACTAACGCATTTCATAGCCCGTCAACTTTGTCTGGCTCGAGCGCAAGGTCAAAGAATGGGGCTGCATGCAGGCCCTGATCGACTTCGACGGATGGCGAAGGTGGAAAGACTTCGCCGACAAGTCCGAAACCATGGACTCCAAGTCCAAGATGTCTGCCTCCTTCTCCAGCATCGCCCCTCAGAAGAAGAAGGAAACCACCCTTAGTCCTACGATGGCAGCAAATCCACCGGATGGCAGCGGCATGAGCCTCAATGGTGTCAAGAAAGAAGAGGAGAAGGAGAAGAAGAGCAAGAGAAGAAGCACAGGCATCATCCCGCCGCCAACCCTAATGGAGGACAATGAGGCGGGCACGCCAGACGCCGCAGAAGGTTCGGGTTCATGATCCACAATCCGGACCCATACTCCATCGGATACATACCGACACACCACCACACGCTTCCCGCCAGCATCAAAAGTTCCTCGACCATTAGAATGTCACAACACAACCTTTTCCTTATACTCATCTTGCATGGACCGGACCGTTTATTTTCATCTCTGCTAGCGATTGTTCCAGCGATATCACCATTTTGGATGTCGCATCCGCAGGGCCGGGTGCTGCATGCATTACCGTTCTGCTCAGGCTTTTGTTACAAACGTACACGATTTTGCAGGCGGGTTTGCCTCGCCTGCCATTTGGCTAGGGAAGGGCGGGCGTGAGAAGAATGATGGGGAGGAAGTGGTATATAGGTGCAAGCGTAATGATAATGTTGAAGTCGACACCTGAACGGATTCACGCTTTTGCGGAACAGGTCGTGTGATGTTGATCATAGTGTTCCACGTTTGACGTGGAGTCGTGCGGAGACGGGACGGCTAACGACTTCCTCTGGCCGAAGGATATAACATGCCCGACCACAACGCAGGTACAGCTCTGGAAATCACGCAGCAAACTTACTCAATCAGCTGCAGGAAAAAATCAACATTTATCGGAATTCGAACTTGATAGTACCAAGAGATTTTATTCCAAACATGACAAAAGGCATCCTCTGGGTCTCATCCCGCATAACACAGCCTGATAAACTCTCCCCCGAGAAATTCTGCAAGTGGTACGAAGACGTGCACATCCAAGAAGTCCTCGTCCTCCCCAGCCTCCCCTCCGCCATCCGCTGGGAAGCCATGTCCCCCCAGCCAGGCCCCGACACGCTCTCCACCTCCGCGCCCTGGCTCACCGTCTACGAAATGACCGACGTGGACTACCGAAACTCGCCCGCATTTCGCGCGCTCAACGGACAGACGCCGCCACCTCAAGAACTGCTGGACGAGATATTCAAGAACGCGCGCTTCGACACGCGCTTCTATCAGGAAGTGCAGAACTACGAAAACCCCAACGTCACCGGAGCGCCTGCAGATGGTGCGTTTTTGATTTCCGCAGCCCTGCAACCTCCCGCGTCCACTGAAGCGATCGCCGATTTCAACAAGTGGTATGCAGACGAACATCTCGCTATGCTGGCTAAAGCACCCGGGTATGTGCGCACGCGCAGGTACGAACTTGTCGACGGGACGAGGTTGGATGGGTTTGAGCGGAGCACGCCTCAGATACCAAAGTTCCTAGCGCTGCATGAGTTTGGCGGGGAGGCGTTGCCGTGGGGGGAGTTGCAGGCAAGTGCGGAGACGGAGTGGGCGAAGAGGGTTATGGGAGGGTTGGTGGGGAGTGAGATTGGGTGGTTTGCGTGTAAGAGGAGGTATGAGGAGGGGGTTTGGGGGGAGGTGGGGAAGTAGAGGAGGCGTAGAGTAGGATGTGTTGGATGCTTGCTGTATTGGAAATTGCTGAGTCGGTATGTCTGAGGAAATTGTCTCGGATGGGGGTTTGGGAAAGCTCCACGGTTCATAGTCGCTGTGCTTGAGTGGAGTGCAAGCGCTCGATGTTTTTGGAAGCTGTTTGAATGGATTCAGTCCATTCTGGGTATCTCTGGCTGATCCAGTCGCTGAAGTCATGGTCGTTGGTGTTCTGCATTGCCGTGATGTGTTCTGCAAGATAGACAGCGTCTTCAATGGCGATGTTTGCACCGTTTCCGCCAACGATGGGATGAGCGTGCGCTGCGTCGCCCATAAGGACGATGCCTTTTTGTGCAAAGTTTTGCAGGTCTTCTTTTGGTATATGGGTAGTTCGCATTAGCCAGTGCAAGATGCGGTCGTTGCGTACAGTTTCAGGCCTGAACAGATCGCTAAATGGCGGAGGTAAACCGACATGACGGAACTGGTCTAATTCTTCGAAAAGTTCCTTGGGTATAACCGTGGCCTTGGAGAGCTCGCGGCCAGGCTTGTGCAGTGCGTCTCCATCGCCACGTGAAGGGCGTGAATAGGTCCAGCTCACGCTGACCTTTCCCTTGTCGTAGTCACTGATGTTGAAATGTAGTCGAGAATTTCCGTCTTTGAAGTTGATGACATTCGAATCCTTCAGGTGTGGTGCAATCTTCTCCTCGTACACAGGTCGTTCGATCCTCCTTTTCCCGTTGAAGACTACAAATGGCAGGATGTCCAGCTCGCTCTTCGGAAGCAGTAATTTTCTCAAGCTCGAATGTACTCCATCTACGCCAACAATGACGTCGCTTTCAATTGTTTGTCCGTTCTCGAAGTAAAGGAGCGTGGCTTTGTCGGATGATTGATCGACCTGCTGCAACGCATGCTCCCATCTTACATCCAATCCCTCTCTTAACCACTCCTCAAGCTTTCCTCTGTTCGCGCGAAAGCAGTCTCCACGATTGCTCCCAGCCCCTGTCGATACATCACTGATTTTTCCTGTGCCGCCGTTTGCTGCATCAACAGCAACACGGCTCTTGAAGACGTGTTCGGTCACTCCAAGAGCTTTCAAGAGGAATATATATGTAGATGCATATAGAGTGATACCATAATTGTAGGACGGTGCAGAAGAACTTCTGTCGTACAGGATGGCTGGGATGCCACGCTGCTTGAGACAACGACCGACTGTCAGACCGCCGATTCCTGCACCGATTATGCTGATTGTTTGTTTTGCCATTTTTTTCAAAGGCCACTGGGTGAGATTTGTGCGTCAAGATGGTGTGGAATATTGTCGGTAGGTAATTATTGGTGGAAGACAGGTCGATGATGACGACTTATTCTGGACCCCACTAGCTCCCGAGGGCTCGCTGCCAAGCTCTGCTACAATTTTGTACAGTTAAAACGTTCACATTAGTAGATCTTGATGTTGTGGTATAGGTGTAAGGCCACGTGCAGGTCGCAAAGGATGTTCAAAACCAGGCTAAGACTTCATGTAGGTGCAATTTCGACGATCGTGGGGCATGAGTGCTGAGACGACCACGCTTGCTTACTGCTGTAGCACGTAGCGTCTTCTCACAGAATCAATAATCGTTGGCTGAAGAAGCCCGTGCCTGAAGCTCTCGTGCGATTCGTGAGGTCGACTGAGGGGCCAGCTCACCACTCCAAGCTCAAGCTCTCAGCCCAGCTACCAGTCTTCTCCACCTTGAGCGCCTCTGCAACATTCCCACTTCCCAGATCTCCGTCGTAGAAATGAGCAAAGCATCCACGTCCAACTTCCTCCCATTTGATCTCTGCCTTCTTATCCGCATGAACCTCGCCGTCGCCATCAGTGCCCTTGGCTAGAACGTCGTATTTGATCTTCAGAAGCCACAGTTCCGAGAAAGTGTCGAACCACTTATCAGCAGTGCTGGCTACCTGCTCGGACGTCGACAAGTGAATGTAGCCATCCTTTCGGTCAAGGTCTGAGAGGGGCAGGCGCTGTGGCAGCGGTGAAGGCGGGGCAGATGGCAGAATCTTGTAGAGATGTTGCGGCAGCGGCGAGGGGGCGGGCATGGCGATGAGAGTGTCACGTGGAAGATCTTTCACGTGAGGGTAACTGTTTCGGAGAGCTTTGCTGCTATCAAGAGCGCTTCAAGGTGCGTGCAAACGTCGAGATGTCGAGCCGCGAATGTCAGTACAGGGCTGACGTAATACGCGCCATGACCCACCTCGCATTTTTAACATCTGGACCCTGCGCCACACATGATTCAGCCCCCTAAGCACTACGATCATGAGGGATGTATTGGCTCGTGTACGTTTGCAGCGACAGCGGAAAGTTTGGCGCACGGGAGCGATGAAGCACTTTGCCAGGAATGACTCGACTACGTCACGGTCGAACCAACAACATAAACCTTCCCAGTTGCATAAGGAAGGAGCGCGTCTGCCCAACACTCCCTCCCGGTAGCTGCCATACCCGCTGCACAATCAGCAATGTTGTTGTCAACCTTCATCTTTTCTTGCATCTTCTCAAGCGCTAGCCCAGACTCTGCTGGTCACTTGACTCTTGGGGGCTTGTGATATTCTTAGCCCTACCATGAGCAAACACAAGCCGAAGAAGGCAGCAGGGGAGCAGCAAGAGCCTCCACCTCCACCCCAGCCAGCCGTCATTCCAAATAGCGGGCATCTTCCCTCCGTCAAAACTTCTCCGGATACGACACTCGAGCCCTTGCAGCTCACAAGCGACGACCGGAATCAATTTCAAATGCTGAAGCAGCCAGAAGCGCGCTGCTGCGTGTCGAAGTTCGATAAAGCGCCTGATAAGGCACTCGTTTGCTTCCAGTATCTCAGTCAAGGCGGTGCCAACGTCATATTCAAGATACATTCATGGCCGCAGAAGCCCTCACAGCAAGACCAGCCATTCCTGTTCGTTGACGCAAAATTGGCAAGCACAAAGGCTACCCCGATCCACAGCCTTCAGCTAGTCGACAAGGTGCTTCGCATCAACAAAGGCTTGCTCAAGACTCTACGGTGTGAGGAGGTCATCTCGGGATTCTACGGTCACGTGCGACCACTGTTCGCTGCGGGAGGAGTCACAACCATTGTGGGACCTGCGTATACGCAATTGCCGATTAAGATGCACGATCGCGACTACACAGAGTATCTTATGGAGCATCAAGGCGTCATACTCTACTCTAGCGTCATGGTTAATCTCACCTCCAAAAGCGATGCCATTGGCGTCGAAAGAGGTTTAGGTTCGGCACAGCAGCTGCTTACCTCCCAAAGGTGGGGTATCCTTCTCCCCGATATGTCACCTACACCTGGAAACTCTGTCACTATAGAGCTCAAGCCGAAGTGGCTTGCTCAGTCGCCTACTGCGCCTTCAAAGGCGATACGCTGTCGCACATGCGCATTGCAGGTCCTGAAACCAAAGGATCCGTCCAAATACCTCTGTCCGTTGCAACTTCTGAATGGCAACTTCGACGTCGTGAACAAATGGGTCCTCTCCAGAGTCGCGGAGCAGGCGGCTGGCCCCACACAAGACACGAAAAGAAACAGCGCCATATCGCATGAAATCACTTCGTATCTCATGAAAGGCCCAGGGAAAAGTCTACTTGAACATCTCAGGGTCCTGCAAGTCAGTCTCGACCACCATGGCATCCTCAATGGCAACAAGATAGGATCGCCGAAGAAGGAGCTACACAACATGTTCGAGCACAATGTGCGCCTAGCAATGACACTGCGGGATTGCTCGCTTTACATACGAATTGCATACTCGAAGGACGGTGCGGTCCCGTCGTCTATCGAGTGCAAGCTCGGCGACCTGGATTTCAAGTCTGCGGACAAGATGGATGACTGGGCTGCCAAAGAGACGGAGTTGATTGAGTCTGGGTCGTATACACGGGAGATCAAGGAGGATCTTGGTTGTCTCATTCCTCACATTAATGCCGCCAATCAGGCCTGGCTTCAGCGGTTGACGTACCTGCATTGATCGGAGTTATGGTTATTTGGAAAACAATGGCGTTGTGTGTATATACTTATGGGTGCAAACCTGCGTGGCATAGATTAGTCTTATAAAAGTAATTGTAATTGGTGATCAGCTCTCTCAGCCCGTCATTACTTTGGCTAACCGGTGACGACATTGTGTGTTGCAATAATTCGTGCGCGCTCTATTTGAACTCAACCTATCATTGGAGAGCAGTTGCTGCGAAACACAGGAAATTGCTCGGAGGCTTGCTTAGAGACAGCTCAACAGCTTAGGCTTTCACCTAACTTCGAACGCTAATATAGATAGAAAGTAATTGCTTGTAAGACGTGATCTTAGCAGCTTCACCACCGAAAGTAATTCACTAAGTATCACTTACTATTAACAGCGCTGTCGTCGAGCTCTCTATCGTCGATAGCTGAGACAACAAACGAAAGAGTCCTACTGACAACGCGAAATCATCCCGAGCATTTGCCAGACGGCCAAAAGTTCCTCCAGGCGTAGACGTTGGCGTAGGATAGGAACTCACACTAACAAGCTCTTTCATGGCCTCCGCGAGGCGGGTTTGTCACCAAGAGCGTACGCTGGGTCGCCTGCTACAACGGTGTCCAGATGCTACGCCAGTCATGCAGCACTATATGGCTGTGCTTTTGCGACTCACTCATAAATTACCAATGCTGTTCTATCCATCACAACCGGTCGGCCGTTTCGACATGCCGGTTTAGGTCTTCACTTTCATTCCGCGTGACAGTGTGCTCTTTCACCCGACGCGAATGTTTCGCGTCACTGCCAACGAAAACACAACAAAAACATCGCGTTGCGTACTTCTCCTAAACACTGCGCTGTCAGCAGGTTCGTCCCTGCCGCTACCCGGAAGCGCCCACGTTCACGATCCAACAAACAAGTCCCATTGGAGGCAAGATGGAGGCGGTCCAAAATTATCTGCACGAGTACGTTACCAATCCCATTGATTATTACGTACTGATAGTCCCCAGGCTTGCGCAGACGAGGAAGTTCTCTGACTTCACGTTCAAAGTAGACGGCGGCCAAGACCACAAGGTCCACAAAGTCGTACTCGCAGCGCAGTCGCGCGTCTTCGAGAAGTTCTTCGAGAAACATGAAAGCGTTTGTAATACCTCTTCGTGATCCGGATTTTGCTGACATTGGTCCAGGAAGCTAACCTGACCGAACTCTTCTCTTTCAACAACTTGACCGCGCCCATTGACACGCACAAGTACTCTAACATCGCCATGCGCGAGGCCATGATCGATGTGCTGGCGTACTGCTACTATGGAAAATATCATCTGAATCGCGAGCGCGATGTCAGTGACGACTTTGCCTTGCGGGTCCTGTCGCATCTTCTCGTCCACGAAGCGGCCGTCCAATTCCAAATCCCTGACCTTGTTACTCTCAGCGCCATCAGGTTCCGCTCGGAGTTTTGGGGATACTGCACATCCTGCACACCAGAGGGTGCCCAGACCGTTTTCAAATCATGCTTTTCATCAAAAATTATGTCCAAGTTCTTGCACGATACTGCCATCGACATATTTCGAATCACGATCGACGCGTACAAGAAAGAGAACAAATTCAAGGAGGCGCTGGAACTGATGGGAGCGGTGCCAATGGCGACAGCGAAGCTGTACAGCCAACCGCCAAAGCAGGAAGAAGTCGTGCCGGAGGATGGGGAAGATCTGAGTGAAGAGGATGAGAGTGAAGATGAGGACGAAGTATCAGAGCTTGAAGAAAGCACTACTAAGAAGGCCAAGAAGGAAGCATATGTTACTGGTTAACACCACCACCAGGCAGCGGCAAAATTCGTGCCCGCTCTGCACCTACACGATATTAGCTGATAGTCATTAGACGTATACTTATTATAACCTTATAAAAGCCTGATGTATACGCAGCTCTAAAATACTCCACCTAACTCTATTGGAAATCTTTGAATATATACAGGCTACCTCATCGCTTCTTTCTGTTTGGAGAGGGCGGGCAGGAATTTCGCCGGCGACTGGTGCCACTGGCTTGTAACATGAGGTCAGCAACAGTCATCTCTCACTTGCACCCAGGAAACAATTTGCAATGTTTTCGACATTTAATCGATTCAAATAGCCGCTAATAATAAGGAAACGACTTGCAAATATATACAATGAGCAAAAGTGTCGTTCAAATCGTCGTGTAATCATAACGTCGGACCTGCTTTCACAACCGTGCTTAATACACATGTCTCCATCCCCGTTCAACACCAGTGTGTTCAGACCAGCCTTCAGCCTCATCAAGCTTCTTGTTCAGCGCCTTCGCCCTCATCTTGACCAGCATGGCAGACACCACACAAGCCACGCATCCAAACAGGATCAAGCCACCGCCAAGACGGTAGAATGGCTCCTGCGATGTCGGGAAGAAGTATGGGCTGAACCAATGGCTCGTCTGACTGATGCAGTTGGCAATAGCAATAAGCGCTGCCTTCTTACTCCTAGGCGCAGGCACAAGTGTGGTCTCCCAGCTGAGTTGCAAGTTTAGGCCGGAGTAGGTGCCGCTGATGAGTAGGATAAGACCGAAGTAACGAGCACCGACGTTCAGTGTTGCAATAAGCATGCTACATCCGGCTGCACTGAAGAGGATTGGGATAACAATGTGGTAGCAGGATTCTTGGAAACGTCCGGAAGTGTAAGCTAGACCGCAGGCCACTGCGTAAGCAATGGCGTAAGGAGGAGCCTGAACGAGGTAGGTAGTGAGCTTGTCAAAGTGGAATGTGCTCATGATCTGGGGTGGTTGTTAGCAATTGTGTCGATGTGAAGGGAAAAGTGGGACTTACCGATGGCAGGAAGTCCTTGAAGCTCTGAGCGGTGACCAGAGCGAAATGCATTAAGCAGAAGAGCCACGTGAAGGGGTCTCTAGAGAACGCGTTAGATGAGGGAGGCTGGAAAACTTCGTGGTGTTGTGGGGGTTGATGTGGGAGGCAACAATCCTGCGTAGATATTCGAGACACGTGATCCTACACACAACGATGACCCAGAATCGCCGAACCACAGCAGACAAGTGTAAAAAGAGGGGATTGGTGTATGGCGCAGAGTTAAAAATGATGGTAAAGGTTGCGTACCTGGCTGCATCTTTGACGCCGTCCCATGTTCCTCCCAAGACCTCATCAACGCCACCGTTGGACACTTGGACACGGTATTGGGCCATTTCAGACTCTTCCGGTGTGAGCCACCTGGTGTTGTGGGGCCATGAAGGAAGCAAAATGTAAGCGACTGCGGCTACAAGGATCGATGCAGCGCCCTCGATGATGAAGAACCACTGCCACGCATGGAGACCGAGCACGTCATCCATGTTGGTGAGAATACCAGCGGCAAGGAAACCGGATAGGATGTTCGACATGGTATTTCCAGCGTGCCAGATGGCCATTCGCATGGGGTTCTCTTCTTTCGTATACCATGAAGATGTCACTTTTGTCCGTTAGCTTATTCGATAATGGATCTCGGAGGCTACAACTTACTCAGAGTAATACCAGGAAAGAAGGGCGCTTCGCTGAGTCCGATGAAGAATCGGCAGACGGCGAAGCCGGCACCAGAGGTCATTGCTGGCATGCAAATTGTTGCAATACTCCAAGCCATCATCATGGAGGGCAAAAACCACCTGGGATCCGCCTTCGCAAGCCAGAGGTTACCGGGAAGCTGGCCGACCAAGTATCCAACGTAGAAGGTGGAGATGCCGGTGTTCCATATGGTGTCGTTCATGTTCAAGTCCTTTTGCAGACCAGCAAGACGCGCATTCGAGACGTTGATTCGATCGAGGTAGCTATTTTGTGTGAGTAAATTGGCCTCTAAAGCTGAGATTGCAAGACTCACTTCATTAAGAACATGACTGTGATACATGGCATCAGTCTCCAGTCAAGTTTCCTGACAAGTTTTTTGTTCAGTGCTGCCATCTGCTCTTCGCTCAGATTTCGAAGTAGCTCGAAGCGAGTTTGGATCTGTTGCGGTGTGATGCGATAAGACTCAGGAGCTACCTCCTTGAATTCGGCATCAGCCATCTTCTCGTCGATGGGTTTGTCGGTCATGGTTGCTGATTGATTGTACTGAGGTCGAAGAGTGTAATTGTGACCTTGAAGCACTGGAGAGCAGCTGGATGCCGATGATCTTAATTTGTAACGCATGCGACATTGTTATATAGACGTTGAGAATACACTCGACCTTCTCGGCCCATCTTCCTGGCTTCGCTACTGTAGTGTTCTTGGACATGCCCACGATCGCACTAAGAATGCGGGGCCCCAGGAAAGCGGTCGAACCACGAGGGTGAACGTGCGCCACTCCCAGCTCCATTCGGTAATTGGAACGGTTCCAAGTGGTTGTTTCTTGCCAAGATCCGGCCTTTTGCCAAGGGTGGGCTTGCTGCCAAGGGCCCGGATTGCTGCCAAGTGCAGACTTGTAGGGCGGAGGGAAGCGAAGGATTTTGCTTCGAGACGGGACACAGACTACGAAGACTTCCCGTCCGCGGGTAACAACGTTCCCGTCGGACGGGGAGAGTCTTCTTCCTGCTTAGCAGCTGGAATGAGTCCCTGCCGCGGCACATGTCTCTGAATTTTTGGAATATTGTGAGTGACGATACGTAGGCATGCGATACAACAGCCATGCGCACCTGTTCTCCACCAGACGACGTGCAGCCCTTCCCCACAGTATCCCCAGACAACGTGCCAGCCGGATGATCTCAGATGCGGAGCTTCCATGGGGCAGGTCGCCAACGGTCGTGCAGACGCAAAGAGGGTGGGTCGGTTGACTTTGCACATTCGCCGAATCCACCTGGCAGGTCAAGGGCGCGGTATCGGAGTTGTTCACATCGTGTCCCAGTCCAAAACGGGAAAGCTGTCCAGTGCAGACCCATTAAAGCCGTATAGAAGGTCGTCAACGTTGACGGGGTCCTGTGCGAACATGGGCTGTTGGCCAGAGTATCCCCAGTTATTGTTATTATCATATGGGGAGGTATCCGCATCGTTGTGTCCCGCAAGAGCGACATTGGACATATCGGTAGGTGGATATGGCCAAAGTGACTGCATCGGTGCGGCTGCGTCTGACGAATTAAGACGACCAGCTGGTCCTACTTGTGCGGGATGCGAATTCTCCTGTTCTCGCACAAAACTTTGAATGATGCCGTCGATATCGAGACTATGCAGGCTAGGCTCACGACCCGTCTGGCGGCCTGATGAGGAGTCCGGAGTGCTGTTATGGCTGCTCTCAATCTGAATTTCGTCCAGACTGGGTGAGGCGACACCCAATCTCTTCATCAGATTCTGCACAACTACCATTCGCCGCGTCGCACAGCCCAATTTGTCTCTTGGTTCTCTCGAAATACAGCCAAGCAAGTCTCGAGATTGGTATAGGCAGAAGAGCCTGTTCCGCGCTTTGCAGCTATACGTGCGTGTATCGTGGCAGCCACATACGTCGAATATGATATTAGATAGGGAGCTCTTCGCACGCTGAACGCCTTATCGTATACACGCAGGAGCGCAACAATGTCATCAGCCGCTGTTTGACATGACAGCAGCGAACTGACGGAAATAGCACGAGACGTGCTGTACAAGTGACCATCAGCAACAAATGGACGATGTAAGAGAATCATGAGGACGTTGTACATGGCGCTTTGCCACTGTCAGTAGGGGTATCGCATCACGGGACCAAAGAATACTCACTGCAGACTCAGAACATGGGGTGGCGGTGTGATTGGCATCTTCTTGACGTCCACCGCTAAATGTTCTGGTAATTCGCTGCGCCATGTTGTTAACTTGAGATGGATGCTCTCTAGTTTCGAAGAGAGCTCCCCTGGACTCGAGTCAAAGCTTCTTTCGGTGTATATGGTGCTGAGGATGTCGCTCAAAACGACAGAAAGCTTGCAGAGATGTCGGAATGTAGAGATGCTATATGCTGGAGAGCCTAGGTAAGCGGCATTTGACTGCGTTGAGTATGCGAAAGGTGCCCAATGCTCGAGCTCTTCGTACGTATCCTGGAACTTGATGGGCACAAGAGTATCGGCCTCTTTGATAGTGACTGGTCGTCCCTGATACAAGCTCTGAATCTTGTCGATGACTGAGTGATCGTCAGTATGGTCTCAAATATCCGTGGCAATAACAGGAGCTGTCAGAATCTGTGCCCTGCTACCAAAAGGTTGTATAGTTTCATAGACTCATGATCGTATGACTGTACCTTGATATAGCAAAGCGCCTTTAGAAATACACAGTCTACTTTATACTGTTTACGTTGGTTATAGCATAGACACAGACTACGACAGTATTTAAAGGGGGGCGACTTACCGAAAGCAGCCCAGAACACGCGTCTCCTTTATCTCATACTCCCTCATCTGAGAATCTTCCTCGTTTTCCGCCAGGTCCACTGTGTCCACATGCATTCCGAGATCGACAATCATGCGAAACGCAAGACCTGCATACAACCAAGCAGCACTGCGTTCATCTCCGAGAGCAAATAGTGAGTTGGTCATGACCAGTAGAGCTTGAATGGTAGTAACTTCACTTTTGTCTAAGGAACCACCTAAGAGCTCGCGCACTCTTTGACGAAATTGCCAGCCTGCGGTGCGCACATCATCTGCAACCCGGCGAACTTCATGGCGCGGACTAAACTTTGAGGCACCGAAATAGATGGCGTTCAGCAGCAGTTTGGAGAAGTACGGGCCACCACAAGCCATGTCGCGCATGAAGGCTGGACGATATGTCGCCAGAAACGAGTGATGCTGGCGATTCCAGTGCAACGACAGAAGATGCATGCCTAATTCTGGATCAACACCGTCGAAGTCGAGCTTCCCTAGCCGGAAATTGACAGTCTCGAGTTGCCGCTGGCGTGCAGCTTCAGCAACCAGGCCTCTTTCGACCCACTCGTCAGGCATTTGAGGACGCACTTCAGCAGTGGGTCTATCATGGGGACCCTCATCGAATAGAGTACTTGTGCGTCCATGGTAACTAGATGAACCATTGGCAGCAACGACGATGCGCGAGACGCTCTTGGGTGCGATCACAGCAGCTCGTGGAGCAGGCGTAGTAGCAGCCGCGGCTGAAGTGCGTGCCTGTGAAGCGTTGTCTCTTCGAGGCGTCTTACTTGGACGGCTGCCAGCATGATGTGTCTCATCTATGGGCTCATACACGCATGTCGCCTCATGCAGTTTACAGCTCGCACATGTGGGCTTCTCTGCGCTGCACTTGATCTGGGTGACACATTTTCAGTAACGTGACGACTGATCTGGACGTCGGGACGCAGACCTTTCTCCGACGGCAGAAAGTGCACGCCTCGGCTGCTCTTTTGCGGGTACGCCCCGTGGTTGTCGCATTGCCGCTGGTGGTACGATCGCTCATGGCTCTGGGCGTCGGGATCGATTGACGGGTGTTGTTGTGACGGGAGAGTGGGAAGAAAGTTTCGAAGTGGTACCTCTTCCGACTGGACGTGAAGTTCCCGTCTTCCCGCCAGCCAAGGCCTTTGCCCCGTCAGATCTGATACGCGACTTTGACGCGACATACGTCGCGCTACGATCAACTTGTAGCATTCTGCGCGTAGTATATACTGTCCTTACAGCCATGAAAAACGTCGAATCCGATGTTTCCAATAGTCACAACTCAACGCCCATCATGAGCGCCTCACTCGCCACTTCGCCGGTTGACACAAGACCAACTTCGATACAGATCAACACAACACCAAAGAAGACCTCGGTAAAACAAAGTCCGACTGCCATAGTATCGCTACTTTCTGGCGCCATTGCTGGAGGTGTTGAAGCCACGGCGACCTATCCTTTTGAGTTTGCCAAAACCAGAGCACAGTTACAAGCGAGCACAACCGGTTCGCGGAATCCTTTTGCAGTCATTGCCAACGTCGCAAAAAGTGATGGCATTGGAGCGATTTACACTGGATGCTCTACATTGATTGTGGGCACAGCTTTCAAGGCCGGCGTTCGATTTCTCTCTTTCGATTCCATCCGCGCCCGTCTAGCCGATGAACGGGGGGTACTTTCTCCAGCGCGAGGACTGCTGGCGGGAATGATGGCCGGCGCAGTGGAAAGTGTGGTGGCTGTTACACCAACCGAGCGCGTCAAGACCGCTCTCATCGACAACGCAAAGAGCAGTACCAAGCTTTACAATGGAGGCTTCCATGCGACCAAAGTCATCCTCCAAACACACGGGATAGCCGGGTTATACCGAGGTCTGGTTTCCACCACCATGAAGCAATCGGCCACTTCTGCTGTCCGCATGGGCTCATATAATGTCCTGAAAGAGTTTGCGCGTCGGAAAAACCTACCACAAAACAGCGCTGTGACTTTTGGATTGGGCGCAATTGCTGGAACTATCACTGTTTATGCGACACAGCCTTTCGACACTATCAAGACGAGGGCGCAGAGTGCAAAAGGTGCAACTACAGGCGAGGCATTTCGAAGTGTGATGCAAAGCTCAGGAGTACGAGGATTCTGGAGCGGCAGCACTATGCGCTTAGGAAGACTGGTCTTCAGTGGCGGAATCGTGTTCACAGTATATGAGAAGGTTGCTTCTCTTTTGACTCCTTCTCAGTAGCATTTTAGTATACAAATATACCCAGTTTTTTTTTGAACCCTATGGTGCCAATATTCCAAAGTTTTCCTTGACTCAAATATGTCGATTGTGAATCAACTCAAAAGTCAGAGCAAAGTTGCCCATTCCCGCTTTTCGTTGCTGATGCCCTCCGTACAAGCGTCGCGCACAATCTGCGCTGCCTCCGCAAACCCCGTCAACTTCGACTTCATGATTCCTGCACACTTTGCTACCCGCCATCGCATGACTCGGGCAAATTCTCGCCGGTGCATCAAGCTGCCGGTAGATAAGACGGGATGAAATGATCCACGCGCAGTTGCCCCCGAGCTGCGTCCGGATAGCGTGGTGGTTTTTCTTCCCGCGGGTAAGCCATTATCCAATCACAGGACAACTACATTGCCGCGTGTCTCGTCTCGAAGCTCGTAAACTCGCTCGCCGCGGGCCCGACGGGAACAACTGTGCAACGTTCACAGCTTCGCATTTCCCGTCGAGAGAAATGTAGGATCTGGACGCTTGATGACCTTCGTGTCCGGATCTAACGAGCGGGTACAATATATGATGTATTCCTGCAACATGCCGGATCAACTTCACCGAAGCGGATATATACGAATACATCCATCACATTTCTGTACATGCTTCGATCGCTGATCAATCCATCCGTTGCTCAAAAAGCAAAGCTCCCAACGTTCCAGATACCAGTACTCTCTAAAACGCCAATTATACGACTTCCCGAGGATATGGCTTGCGAAAGGGCTCACAAAAGAGTGCGGCGTAGCCTCCCGGCTGTGCTCATGCGAGCTGGCACGTCAAAAGGTCTATTCATACATCGCCATGATCTGCCAGCCTCGGAAGCAGACTGGGCAGGTCCACTGCTTGCTGCCATGGGCTCTCAAGGCTCAGACGCCAGACAAATCGACGGAGTAGGAGGCGCCACATCTACAACTTCCAAAGTTGCCGTGATTTCACCATCATCCCGGGCAGGCGTAGATGTTGATTACACCTTTGTCCAAGTAGCTGTCGGCCAAGAAGTGGTCGATCTTAGCGGGAACTGCGGGAACATGTGTTCGGGCGTGGGCCCATTTGCTCTCCAAGAAGGCTTGGTCCGCGCTAGTCCAGGGGAACGAACTGTAAGTACGCGTACCAAGCAAGTACAAGTGTTGTGGCGCTGACTCATGTTGTAGCTCGATGTTCGGATCTTCAACACCAACACTTCGCGGATTATCGTCGATACCGTCCAGGTGGATGAGGATGGTTCATTCGAAGAGGATGGTGACTACGCGATCCCAGGCGTGAAGGGCACTGGCAGCGAAGTAAAGGTTGCATTCGTCGATCCTGCTGGCAGCATGACTGGAACGCTGTTCCCTACTGGTAAGCGTTTTGAGACCTTGAACGTTATCGAGACGGACGGCAACCGCTTCTCCGTAAAAGCAACTTTGATCGACGCTGCGAACCCATTCGTTCTCGTGGACGAAACATCATTACCACCTTACCTCAAGACGGGAAGCAAAGATCCTGCCGGATACCTCAAGCATATGGAATCGATCCGACGTGTAGGAGCTGTCATGATGGGTTTGGCATCCAGTACAGACGCTGCGGCCAAAGTTCGAGGAACACCAAAGCTGGCCATCGTATCTTCTCCCCAGCTAGAAGAAACATCCGAGAAAAACAGACCAAACATATTCGTGCAAGCATTCAGTATGGGCAAGCCTCATCCAAGCTTACAACTCACTGGTGCAGCCTGCTTGGCTTCGGCAGTATGCATTGACGGCACAGTGGCCCATCGAGTGTCATTGGGTGAGAAGAAGCAGTCCAGCTGGCATTTGCCATCACCGGAGAGGACACCGAGCCCCTCTTCCGATTCTGAGGAGAGTGTATCTGGTCTGCTTCCAGACCGACGAACAGTATGCATCGCTCACTCTAGCGGATCGATCAAGGTCGAAGTCCTCGCCACAAGCTCCGAGACATTCGCCGTCGTCGACCGCTGCGTCGTGTCGCGCACAGCACGTCGTCTCTTCGAGGGAAAGGTATACTACTACCAGAACGTCATATGAAACATATACCCAATGCATATTTTAGTTCAAATCACCCCACATGCCTCGTGCCTAGTCCCAAGCTCTTTCCCAAGCCGGCAACATACTTACTGGACTGTGGAAGGCAGCACTAGCTTCGGAGGATTAAATGTGAAAGCACTTGCAGGCGCTGATTTGCGATATTGAAACTAGTGATTTGGAAGAAGCGTTGCAGGATTGAGCCGTTTGAGATGGCAGGGGTGGACCGGGCTGGTGGGCCACAATTCGGCAAGCGAGAGGTGGGAGATCTGCCGCTGATCTTTTGTGGGGTCCTGTATGCGACCTTTAAATCAAGCCTTTTCATGTTGACGCATTGTCCATTTGAACCAACAACTCTGATCTTTCGGTTAAAGGTACGAAGTTCCTCTGGATGTTGCGGTGAGATGAGGCGAACTGTAAAGGAAGAGCGGCCCGAGGTTGGGGAAGTAAAGTGGGGCTTTGAACGTGGTACCTGGATTCAGCTTTGAGATCTCGCTACGTCAGCAGGAGATACCACACAAACCTCATCAGCGGGCTAAAGGAGTTCAGCTTAGCCGTGCAGATCGGTGTACCAATGCTAACTCAATGAAAAATTCCTGTGCAGGGTCGATTGTTAACAAGATCGAGAAAGGACATTGTAAATAGCAAGAGAGACAGCGAAGCTCCATGCCCATTACCTTCATCTAGCTACAGAATCTTGAACATGACATCTTCATCTACAAGAAATTGGTGAATTCGTATGCAACCCCTGTTATGTAAGTTGTCACGGGTCCTTTGTCGAACTGCGAACACATACACTCTTTTGCGATAGTCCCGTTCGTCATACCAGTGAGAATTTGTGAATGACAGTAGTGGCTTGCTGCTCGGTGTGCTGGTCTTCAGGGTCACGGATTGAACTAAACAAAGTCCTATCTTTTCCTGCATAGGGGAGTCATTGCTGCTGGTCTATTGTGGTACTGGTTGTAGCGATTGCTGTCAGAACTCATCGTACTGCCTTTACCTACCTAGGCACGTGAAGGACATTGAACTGGTCAGCTCGCGGGTGCCAGTCTGCGGTATGAGTCTCGCACAGTCCTAGCAATTCATACGGTCCGCGGTGCTCGTTACCTACGATTGCGCATTGAACGATAATTGGTCTATCCAGGCTACCATGAGGTTGGCTACCCGAGGCTGAATGTACATGGCCCCCTGGCAAAGTTCCTGTCCGCCTTTGCCCAACGCGAAGGGTTATGAGATAGCAAAGATCCATTCAAAACCTCTTGCAAAATCAAACGAGAGATCTTACAGCACTGAATGTATTTGTGCTTCTTAACCAATTAATTGGTGCACTCCTAAAGACTATTAGATCACTTCGCGCATGTGCATAGCGGACGCGAATTCTGCCGCTGCCTGGTGTGGCTGATAGGGACATCATCTCATCCCGCATTCGTCGTATCGATCCGAGGCCGGAGTCGGCGTAGTTCGAAGTTCGTCTGTTACGATTGCTGCCTCAGGTCAAAGCAGTGCTTCAGAAATGCTGAGATGCCTTGCGATAATATGCGGCACATGGCGGTGGGTAGGTCGAGGCCCCGGTATTTTCTGAAGGCATCCGCAGGGATTTGGGGCGATGTAGGTACGAAATGCTTAGGTGCTTTGCAAAGGCACATAGACTCTGTTGCAACGCGAGAACACTTTTGTTGTTCCGTTGGATGTAGGCGCGGTGGTCGAAACACGGGGCTGGGATGTTACTGCGCATTGACAAGCGCGGAATTGCAGCCGCATCACAAATCGCTTGCTTACAACAACGATTGTCAGCAAGGCGGAATTTCGCATCTTGCCGGTCACCGAAGACCCACCACCGCACCAGTTCATGCAACGTACTCTCAAGATCTCACCATGAGGCCAGAACGTCTTTACAAACCAGGCAAGCGCCCGCCTTAGCCGTGTTGTAACTTCGACCCCCTGCTCCTGGTATCACGTCATGGCGGTTGCTCCCAAATCACTCCTAGTTGGCTTGCTGGTCGGCGTTTTTCTGGCTTTTCTGGCACCACAACTCGTTTCTCATTCGCAGTTGCCGATACAAGAAGAAGCTGGAGAGCTGGGATCTAGCTCACCGCTTTCCATTCAAGCAATGGCGCAAGTACTGAAGAATATTGCCAAACGGGGAGTCGCCGGTGGATACAAAAGCCTCTGGGTCCCACCCTCTACCTCAACTTCCTCATTATTACGCTCTTCATCTACACCCACTGCTTCTTCCACACCTAAACAATCTTCCTTCTCCACAACCACATCAACCATGTCTGCCCAGAAGTCCTTCTTGGATGCGGTCAAGGAGCGCCGCACCTACTACGCGCTCAACAAGGAGGCTCCCATCTCCGACAAGCGAATCACCGAGATCGCTGAGCAAGCTGTTCTCCACGTTCCCTCTTCATTCAACTCTCAGTCCACTCGCCTCGTTGTCCTTCTGAACAAGGATCACGATACCTTCTGGGGGCATGTGCTCGACGTCTTGAAGCCTCTCGTACCTGAGGATCAGTTTCCCTCAACCGCAGAGAGAATCAACGGCTTCAAGGGCGCTTATGGAACTGTGAGTACCTCGATTCATTTCTCTATATGGCCGTCGTGCCAGCGTGGGCAAGTCTTCTGGTGGTGTCGTGGAGCTCGAAGCTTCGAGCTCGACGCAGCCCCACCAGGTGGACCGCGAGCCCCGCCATTTACTCGCCTGCTCCCACTCCATCGCCCACAAAAGTGCCACGCACTAACACAGTTGGGTAGATCCTCTTCTACGAAGACCCGGAACCCGTCGAGAAGCTCCGCAAGGCATTCCCTGAATACGCCCACCACTTCGGCGACTGGTCTGAGCAGACCGACGCCATGCACCAGTATGCCCTGTGGGTCGCGCTTGAGGCTGAGGGCTTCGGCGCCAACCTCCAGCACTACAACCCCATTATCGACCAGAAGGCTGCTCAGCAATGGAGCATTCCGCTCGAGTGGAAGCTCCGTGGACAGCTGGTCTTCGGTGGCCGCGCTGGCGGTGTTGGCGAGAAAGAGTTTCAGGAAACACACGGCAAGAGACTGTTTGTCCACGGTGCTAAGGAGTAAGAAGTAGAAGACAAACATAACGAAGCAATGAAGTGTTAGACGTATGTTGAGCTTACGTCGGTCCCTTTCAGTTCATCGTTGCATACCGCCCCTATTTGTTCTTTCAATCTGTCATGCCAACAGTCACAGCCCTCGATCTCCAGGGTTTCTCGGTATTGTAGCTTGTCAACTACAATGGAAGTTCAACAGACGCATCTTATGGCCTGAAGCTATACACAATACCGTCAGGTCTTGATTGTGACGGCAAGGCCCCTTGTATAGCTTCGAGCTATTAGATGGGTTGCCTGCTGTAACACCCTGGTCGTTTTCCGTCTGAGGTGAGAAATTTTAGGAAAGCATTGCTGAGAATATGTTACTATGGAAGTACAGTGTGATTCCTTTGTCCATTGCCAGGTCATTACCAAGGTTCGTGGTCCCATTGTACTATTTCAACGTCCGTATGTTGGGGCTCTCCACTGTCTTTTGACCCGCAGCTAATCCCGGCCCACCTAGGAAATCCAACAACACCAGTCCAATACTAAGCTTACTCATGGAGGACTCATTAAACTATCGCGACGCCCATACGACGACGTCTGCTTCAGCGCTTCCAATTTGAACTTGTGTTTCAATGTGATCAACGCGATCGTATCTTCGAGTGTATTATTGTAGTTGACCTGGACAGCCTCGCCCTCGGCGGTGTTATGTTCGATCACTATTCGGTCGATGGCTTTCCAGAGATCTTTTCCAATGGGTGCATTGATCTGCAAGGCCTGGTCCCTGGCCATATTGCGCAAGATGATGCGCTCAGTCGTTACCCGCTTTTTAGTCGTAGAGCCCGTGGACGAGTCTGAATCGTCGACCAGAGTCTCATCTTCGCTGTCCTCTCCATTGGCGTTATTCCTTAGCGATCTCAAGTCGGCGGGTGTTAACTGTACAGTACCATCATCTAACCCTTGTCAACACCTTTGTAACACGTATCTTAGGCAACGAGACTTACTTGACGGACGTCGTCCGTGGAGCAATCGCGCAATCCTCAGACCCTCACAACCGCCCACCTCATCTCTGAGAAACTGGTCGACACGCGCAATGACCTCAGTATTCGCCACGAGTCCTTGTTGCATATCGCGCATCACTCCAACGTTGGCGACTTGTATGCGGAGGAGAAGCATGGACTTTACCTGGCCCAGTTCGCTCATGGTACCAGACAGCCTGCTCTCATCCAGAGAGCCGTTAGTCAACTGGTGCGCAAGCTGCTGAACCGGCTTTCTTGGTGCCTCCATCTCTTTTAGCAACTCGATCAGCTTATCTCCGACTTCCTTCAGTCTCAGAACTTCCGAGCAAACGTTGGCGGTCTGCAAATCCTTCACATCTTCAATAATACCTATCATGGATCTGACGCTTTTCAACTCGCTTTCATGTTGAGCAAGAAGGCCAGGAAGTGCCTTTATGCGCTGGCGGGCCTTGCGAATCCGTCCCAAGACTCGGATGGCCTGGTCAGCAAGCTGTGCGGTAGCTGAAAGGACGCCCAGGAATTCAGCCTGAAAATGAGTATCAGCAATGTTCTGGATTGGTCAATCGCAGGACTCACCATTTTCGAGGTTGCGCTGCGACAAATGGATGCGTTTATCGACAGTCGATCGCAATGGGCGCAAAAGGGCACACCGGCCGCGACTTATCTCGACTTATCTCCGAAGCGAACATGATGGGTGCGCCCAGTGAGGCGCAGCGCAGCGGTTTGATTACCTCTGCAAGCGGTCTCGTGATGGTCTTGCATGCTGCAGAGACAAGTGTGTGGCAGCTCGAGTGGTTTGTTGTAGCAACGCCCCTGCAGCCACCTCGCCGGTCAGCTACCCCATGTTCGCGGGGTGCCGAATCGCAGCGCGCAACCCATTGCCGAACGGATCCTTATTGGAGCTGATAGCACGTTCGCGCACTGCTCGCAACCATTGTCCAATCTCGCGTCTTAGGCGGCGTGCTCACGGTCTTGACCGGATTGTCGAATTGAACCTATCGGCTCATGTTTTCGCTGATGATGAAAGGTTGGTAATAATATTGGATCCAATCAGGACGTCGAATCGGCAGTGTTCGACCACGTAGAAGTGATACGGGGTTTGCTCGATGCCCACTTCCCCTGGAGTGACGAGGACAACGTAGACGCGCGAGGGCGTGATCTTACTGCTGCCGACGACAACAGTGGAGGTCTCCGCTGAGCTATCGACGTAAGTTGTAAGGGCAAATCGCTTGACTATCCTCTTCGATATGTAACTCCTTGCGCAATCGGATTCGAAGATTGCGCAGACTGGACGTTTCTTGCCATTGGATTTTGAAAGCAGGTTTAGAAACTGAAGCTGGAGATCCGAAAAAGCGGATCTTTGATGTTGTCTAGAACTTGGTTTCGGGCAGCGGTGGGCCTTTCGCAATATCGGCTTCTGGGTGGTAGGCATATTAGATCTGAGTCGAGGTGTTCGTTCCTCTGATGTATTGCCGGGCAGCCAGTCCATGTACACTGGATGGGCGCAATCTTTGAGGGCCGGAGGAAGGTAGGAATTGAAGATCTGACTAGAAGATGTTACAACTACATACATTGGACAGGCAATCAATGAGGTTGACGTACATTTCCCAGTGATGTGTCTGGCCCACGATATCGCCATTCATCTGGAATGCCTTGCCTTTCGCATGGTTTCTACTGATGGTATGTGACATCACAGCAGTCTTGCTGTCTATAGTAGGGTTGACAGAGCTCGAGTTCGACAGGACACCAGATCGAGTAGTGACCACTGAATTCGACATGGCACTCAGGGTCGCTTAGGACGATAGTAAATGATATAGTGTATGGACAGAGAGGGCTTCAGCAGTGCGAGACGGCTTGCTGATGCATAACTGTAGCATAGTGGGGCACTGCCAGCTCATGCCAGTCGTCGATGCAGCCTGGCAGGCGTTCGCCGATCCTGAGGCAGATCCGGTGAGCCTGAAAGGGCGAAGTCTATGGGCAAGCGAGCAACAACAAGGGTATAGCGTGTTTGGGGTAATTGATAGAGCCTTGGAACCTGACGTGAGGATCCCCCACCTTCCTCTTGCCTCACGACTAAACGGTCGTCGCATGACACCTTTACACCTCCTGTATCTTCCCTAGGCGCCATCGCAATGGCCGCACGACTGAGTCCGTCATCCAAAGCTTAGCAAGGCTCTTTTCACAAGCACCCTTTTGTCATCGAACCAAAATGCGCCTTGCTCAGCCTAACTCCGCTCCCCTCGCCGGATAATTACGTGCCGCTGCGTGCGAACAATGTTGACTAGCGCGAGGTTGACTATCACTCAACGATCACCAAGAGGGTGCCATCATGAGCGCTGTCAATCGTTCTGACTTACAAAATCTTGTGGATGACTATCCGGAAAAGGCTGTGGATATACTTGTTAACTCTCTCCAACACAAGGACATAGAGAAGGAGATCATCCAATTCCTGCTTCATCCAGGCGAGCCACAGAAAAGAAAGCCGCAAAATGCGCCGGAAATTGCAAATGCGCCGACGGTTCCTACTCTAAGAACTTCACACTCATGGCAGTATCGTCCTAGATCGAGTTCGGTTCATCGCCATCCGCCACCCTATCCTGCTGGACAGAACGCAGAGCCCATGAGCCCACCAACGTCACGGAGCAAGTCAATGATTTCAAAAGACGGCAAAGAGAACATCAACATATTAGCCACAGATGAAGATGACGATATCAAGGCGTACCTTGCCACAATGAGGCCTGCGGCAATCGACTACAGCATCGTTGGTGAACACATGTTCGCACATGGGCGCATTTGCGATTTCCACAAAGAAGAAATAGACCCGCAGCAAATATTAGTCCCATACAGGGGAGTCGCTGAAAGTTTTCGACAAGTTGTTGTGTCATATCGAGCAGAATTGACTTGGAAACGAGCTAAAACCAATTCAACGCACAGCGCGATATTCTACTTGGTGCCACCAGAATTCCTTGATATAGATGTACTTCTCGGGAACCACGACTCAGGACTAGGCAAGTAACGTATTTTCGTTCAGTTTATGACGGAATGGCTGTTTCAGTTACAAACACTGACCAGTTAGGCATGCCAGAAACTGGACCATCACCTCCCCGAAGAGGCCCACGTCTCAATTTCGACGAACATGCCCCGAGTGCGCATTCGGACAACTTTGTCACGGATTCATTCCATCGCTCAGACTTGAACACTGATTTCAACCAACCCAGTCGTGATCAACCGAATGAGCGGATCCATGAGTATGTAAGAAGTCAAAGTGAGCATGCTGCTGCTGCTGCTACTTCACGAAGTAATCCAGGTACAATATCATATCAACAACCTATACCATATCAACAACCTATACCGTCAGGGAACTACCGCCCCACTACTGCCGAAACCGTAAATTCGACGCAAGCATCCAGCCATGACAGTATCAGAGTCAGCTGCACACTTGACTCAAGTACATGGGGTTTCCGGCTCAATCTCAACGCGGATTCTCAAGCACTCTACGATATCGTACAAGCAAAATTAGAGAAGAATAAAGGACCATTTGACAGGACGACAGTGCTGATCCTGTTTGCCTGCGACAAACAGACGTCTGGTGAAGTGTGCGAGCTATCACTTGGAGAAGAAGAATTGGAAGCAGACTGGGAGGGGACGGTGGCTTGGATAAGAGACAACAAAAGAGAGAGACCACCTCACATGTACGCTACCATCCAGTTCGAGGAGGGCTGAAACCGAGAGAAGAGAGGCCATGACCTAGATACATATGTCGTAAGACTCGTTTTTTTTTTGGCAATGTCCAAGTACTGTTCTGATCATAGCTGACAATCACTAGTAACCGTTTTCGAGCCCGGATCTTGCTCGTTATCCTACTCGAAGGTCCAACGACGCAGTTGAATCGGAAGGCTTGGGCATTCACAAGTACCATTACCACACGCGATCACGAAGATCCTCGTTCAGCGAGTTGACAGGACCAACACCTTCGCGCAATGAGTAACACGGCACCTTCAATCTCAAGGTACGTTTGCATCATCAATTGCGCTCAACGATGAACATTTCATGCTTCATTACAAGACTAACAAGTACCAGTCATGGGAGCTTCAGCCAGCATAACAAATGAGGCGGGTCGCGATCACGAAGATCTCCCTAGGACCTCCAGTCAAAGGAAATTGTCTGGTAGAGCGACACAAGCAGAGCGAAAAGCGTAATCGACGTGGAGAGCAATATGAGTTACCGCGTGCTGAGGCTGCGCTATGACTCTATTTCCATCTTGTAACCACACGTGTAAGGGAGATACACGCCGAAGTAACGTGTAAAGGCGCCGGAGAAAGAAAGAGTACAGCAGATTGCTCACACTATAAATTAGAAAACAGCTACATAAACATCGTTGCATCAACCAAGCATAACTATGCAATCGTTAGCGTGTGCCTTGGAGTTCACGGACAACACCTTACCTTGCCAGCCCCAATCCCTCATAACTCCCAGCCAATGCAATCTACCACGCACCGTATAATCCGTGCATCCCGACCTCGTAATAATATCAACGCCCTTCCTAAACGCCGCGGAGATAGGAAAGTGGTTCCCTTTGCGGACAGGCCGTTCATGATTTGGCACCGTAGTACCGGGGCTTCTGTCCAGATTTATGAATTGAGCAATGTCTTTCGAAAGCGCCCTTGATTCGCTCAGCGTCGTGTTGATCTGGCGACCGTTCGCTGTGAAGGCGAGTCCGCGCGACCATAGATACTCCTCTCTTCTCCGCCACAATTCTTCGGTAATCTTGATGCAGCGGTCAATGATACCGGTTACCATACTTTTTGACATTGCGTGCCATCGCTCGCGGACAAATTGACGATCTTCTTCTTCTACAGCGTCGCATCCGGCGACCATGAGCGGGAAGATGTGTAGGATTATCGTAGTTGAGCTTAAAGATATCGTGGCCAGGTACACGAGGATCTTTTGAGCCAGCTCGCCGTATGAAGTAAGGTTGGGAAGCTCTGGTACCGCTTGGTACATGAACATCAAGGTCGACCATCGGTATGCTTCGGCTGTTTGAATCGCATCGATCATGACTTGTGATGGGTCTTCAATGGCTTCCAAGTCGATTGGCAGTGTCCAGTTCTCGATTTCTCTTCGTAGCTCGATTGCTTGAGATATGATGGCTGGAGAGTTCCGTGACGACTCTCGCGCCTTGACTTTATTGATGAGATCCGCAACACGTCTCATGATTGGAAAGAATGTCGCAGAGTATCCCATCAAAGGGTCCAGTCTCGTGCGATCTTGTCGGAGAAATTCCAGCAGGCTCAGATCTAGAGAAACGTTTCCAGAACTTGGCGATAGCTCACTACAGGTGAAGCGAGCAAGAACATCCATATACATCCATGTGTGCGCCAGGAAGTCCAAACGTGCTGCCTTCTCGTCACTGAATAATGTGGGGTCCTGATTCGATAAGATTTGCTGCAGCAGTACTCCACATCCAAGAATATGGTTTGGAGCTGTAGATGAGCTTTCGTCGTCCCAAGTTTCCGCGAACGCGAGGGCCAAAGTAGCGGCCAACGCAGCATCGAGCGGTATATCTCCCCTCTCCACGGTTTCAGATAACAGTTGAGTGCTTCTCTGTACGTGCCGCAAACCATCTAATCGCAACTGGGGCTGCTCTTGCCTGCTTATACCAAAGCATACAAGTGCTGCGATAGCGTGGTACAGCGCAGGATGTTCTTTTGCCAGCGGCCAGATCAATGTCTTCCAACGGTTCTGTTCATCCCCTTCATCGATAATCGAAAACGTGCGACAAGTGTGCTGGTGAAAGAGATAAGCTATGCGCTCTGCCTCATCTTCTCGGGATGTCTCCTGTAGGTTTCGCGCATCACTCGTTGAGAGGTCCTGATCAAGTGGCGTCATTGGGAGAGGTCTCAAATATTCTTCCCAGAACGTGTCCATATTCCATAGTTCAGAAGAGTAGTCAATGCCACTGAACTGAGTGTTCTCGTCCTGTCCATTCGGGGATGCATTTGAGCTGCGTGACACTCGCTCAGGTGATGTCAACGCCGGGTGTATACATTGATTGAAGTCGGAAAAGAAGAAGCCAAGTGAACGTGGAGTCGAAATACTCATAGGCTGACTATTGTCCGGAGTTGAGAAAATCATGTCCTCTATTCTGTCAGTTCCTAGTTCTGTCGACTGCGACTGCGACTGCGACTGCGACTGCGAGTTGCCAATGGCCGTTTGGTTCGTGCCATTGTTTGCTAAGATAGGACGGTTCGATATTGACACTCGATTTGTTGCACTCGGACGCAGCACTTGCGATGATGAAATTGACTTATTCCTTCTCGGTGAGCTGTGTGTCTTGGGCTCTGGTGCCTGCTTCCACCGCACATCAATCCGATAGCCGCCGCACGTGATTCTCCGCCGAGCGCACTGCTCGCATGTAGGTTTTGTTTCGTCACATTTTACTCTTCGTGCTTTGCAAGTCACACATCCTGACCAGGTCGTAGTTAGCCGAGTGTTACGCAAAGAAAGAACGAGGTGTAACCCTGTTCTGGAAAGAAAAGCTCAAGACGGACATGCCATTGCGACTCTTTGAGAATCTTTGCTTCGTTTCACTGCCACCGTTCATCGTGTGTGGTGGCTGGAAGTAAGCCAAAATTGGGCGACAAATGCTAGGGTCAGGTTGAGTCCTGACGGTATCATGACCTGACGGTCCGAATGATAGTTACGAAACAGAGGGTGTGACGCCAGCAATGCGACAACGGACAACAGAAGTGATGCCCGTTCAGGCGTTCGAACATGGAAACAGAAAGGAACACAAATTTGAGAGGCGTTATCAGATTTGGTGGGGATGCTATTGGCCGTCGACAAGGACGATGGTCCACATGATACAGCCCCGCACGTCCGAAAACGGCAAGAAGGACCAGTCTCACGTGACGCATCGCGACCTCCTTCAACTTCATCCAAAGCCTCTACAGGAACATCGATTTCTTGCGTACACTGAAAATGGAAAGTAAATCATGGGCACAGTGTTTACTTCAATGCATTGCAAGCATCGCACTAATCTTGGCAGTCTCTAGATCCATGCCTCACCACGGCTCTCGATTCGCTAGTGCGGAGGGAAACAAACGGGGACCTTGGCCGGGACCTTGGCCGATTGGAACGCACCACGAGATCTAGTTGCGTTGGTGAAAGCATCGAACCGAGTATCTCAAGACTGTCGGATTCAGGCATGCCGGGACGGGCTATGCCTAAAGCGACGAAGGCTAGAATCCTTCACTCTAACTATCCATGCAGTCATCACCCTTCGAACGGGTATTTGGGATCCGTATCCGAGGCGTGACTCGAGGCCACCCACTCGCGCCCACGGGGTCACTGCATCGATTTCACCAACGGCCTTCGGGGCTGGATTTTCGCCGTTGAAAGAGTGCGCATCATTCAGCCATTCAAGCCAATGGCGTTTTCTTAAGCCACGGAGGGTCGTTGGACCGACAGCGCCACCATACGCATGGATCACGTCAGATATTCTTGGACTGCGAAAACAACCCAATCATGCACGAGTAATGAGATCGCTTAGAGATGTCGCTTGCACGCGAGACGCGAAGTGGACTCAAACACCCTAGTACCACGATACGCGTATACGGAAGGTACTAAATCTGCCGCCTGGAGACGATATGGAATAGGGACGGTCCTGTGCCGCCTGGTCGTTTAGTCTGGCTTCTGCTTCTTTAACTTCACTTCGCCGCTTTGTGTGTTCATTCTTGCGTCCATTCTCGTTGCTCCTTTCTCCTTCGACTAAAGCTCTCTTGAGCTCTTTTTACCTGGCACGATGTTCGGCCTTACCATGCGCCGCACTACGCTCCTGGCACTCGCCTGCCTAATCCCACTCATAGCGGCCGCCGAGGACAGGCCAAAGGGCGACTTCAGAAAATGTCTCGAAGTCACAGACACATGTCCCGTCAACGCGACACTTTATGGCTACCGCCCTGATATGGGCGCAAATGCCTTCCTATGTGCACTTTTCGGACTCTGCTTCATCGGCTCTCTCGTCATCGGCATAATGACCAAGACATGGACCTACACAATTGCTCTTGGAATAGGTACATTCCTCGAGTGCGCTGGATACATTGGGCCGCATCATGATGAACTCCAACCCCTGGAGCGAAAGCGGCTTTAAGCTGCAGATCTGCGCTCTCGTCCTGGGCCCGAGTTTCGTCGCTGCCGCCATCTACCTCACCCTGAAGCACTTCGTCCTCTACTGCGGAGCAGAGTATTCTCTGATCAAGCCGCGCCTCTACCCCTGGATCTTCGTCGGATGCGATTTCGGCTCCATGGTACTCCAGGGCATTGGCGGTGGTCTTGCCGCAGCCGGCGGAACGAAGAACCAGAAGCTCATTGACGGCGGCAACAAGATGATTGTCGCTGGTATCGCGTTCCAAGTCGTCACGATGGCCGTGTGCGGTATGCTCATCTTGGTCTACGTCTTCCGCTACAAGAAGGGAACGGCAGCTCGCCACGCAGTCGAGGAGAAGAGCGCATACCACAGCGACAAGGACTCTGGCTCGATTGCGCTGTGGAAGGTCAAGGTCTTTGGATGGGCGGTCACGTTCGCATACACTACTGTTTTGATCCGTTGTATCTACCGTCTGCCTGAGATGGCTGGTGGATGGGGCAACGCGCTCATGAGGAACGAGCGCGAGTTCCTGCTACTCGATGGAATGTAAGTTGTCCCTCTCATAGAAGTCATGTTGGAGCTATTGCTAATGATGTATAGGATGCTTGCGATCGCATGTGTTCTCCTCACCGCTTGCCACCCAGCCTTCTTCTTCCCTCCGTTCGCTGCGTTCCGCCGTCGCCAGAAGTAGATGCACATACCCTGCGCCAACCTTTTCCCTTTTCTCTATACATATAGAATGCATTATACCTCATAGACATCAGCGTGGTGGAGTATTTACATGGAACATCAAATCATTACATACACATTGACACAATTCTTCGCGCATTCGAAATGCATCAGAGACATTGTCTGCTATACACAACACTTTTCCCATCCCAAATGCACACACAGGTTACTCGCACTCTGCTCGCGCGACATTCAACTTACACGGAGTATGTAGTGACATGTAGTCGGTCCAACATTCACTATCGGACCGGAGCGGGTGTCAGCATATGGATACTCCCGTGTCGATTATGGCGTTACCCCCGGGGCTTATGTTGGTCTTACTGACGATTCTGCGCCAGGACAATTTTTCGTTGGTATTGAGAAAAGCGATTTGAAGTGGTGATGATCTAAATGTACAGTCGGTCAGGGGCGCGGAAGATGTGGGAACGGGATGTTACGCAATGCAATCAACAACATGCCAACTTGCTCATGTCTAAGGTCGTTTACATAATTCTATAATCTCGAGCTTATGAAAAAGTACAGTGTTGAGACTAGTACTGTAACAACATAAACACGCTCCTACGCGCTCTAAAATGCCATGTCAAAGAAATCACAAGAAGTAAAGAAAGGCTTTGCATTCATGCAGCACGCGCAACACCCATGACATCCGCCTCCAAATCCAACCCCTCAAACTTCGTCAACACCTCCGGCAACCTCCCGCCTCCCTCAATCGTGCTACTCCTCATCTTCGCCGCAACCCCAATCATGAAATTCTCTTCGAAAGCCTGGATCTCCACTCTCGTATCGTCCAAACGTCGACTCTCTCCGCTCCTCATATTCAACGCATCCACGCCCGCAGGCCCACCACTTCCCGCAGCTTTAGTGAACCAGACCTCCGCATCGCACACGCGCTCGCCCCACGTCCCGTGCGTCGAGCACCGCGCTACAGTGCCCTGCTTCGGCGCCCTGACATTCCTAAACTCGAGCCGGGGGATCCATTTCGCGAGGAGCGCCTCGCCGTCCAACTTGATATACGCCTCCTTGTAGCACCAGAAGGTAAAAAACCTACGTAACTTGGCGTCGATCACGAGTTCCGAGTCGAAGGTCACGTCCTCGCCATCAAGCTTGACTTTCAGCGTCTGGTTGCGCCGCGTACATCTGTCATGGCGATGGGCTTGGAGTATAGCTGGAGTGACAATCTTTCCGTTGAGGAGGGGGAACGCGTCGCAGTTGTACTTCATGTCCCAGGATTCCTCGTCGCTGAAGATCTCTGAGTATATGTCGATCCACGCGTCGAAGCCTTCGCTGTCGATTGTGCGGTACTCATTGCGCTCATTCACGCACACGATGTCGACGCCGAGTTCGGCGTCTAGGTCGGCGGTCTTGCAGCCTACGAGCACGACGAGGCCGGCTTGGTGGGAGATGTTGAACTCAAGGGGTGCGGGGATGGGGGTGGAGGGGTTTGAAGGGGAGGGCGGGAGGAGGGCACATGGTTTCCCATGCTTGGGGTCACGTTTGCGGCCGAATGTGATATCTTTCCATGGTACCCCAAGTGATTTATGCACGAACAGGCGTTTGAGCAGAGCAGAACCCAGGCTCATGCGAGCATCCGCAATGTGGAATTTCCTCGTGATGTTCTCGCGCTCCTCAGGGCTGACGAGCTGGAGTGCTTCTCTGGCCTGATCCCAATTGTCAGCACCATCTTGAAGCTGACAGGGAAGTGAGGGAACGGACGGATGCCGAGTCTACGATCTTCTTGCCAGGCCATATTGATCGAGTGTCTAGGAGCCAGCATGTGAGGCTGGATCCGGGTATGTCTGGATCAGACATGATTCATGTGTGACGGTGAAGTGTGGATCTGGTACGGACTAGTTGTACAGCGGCTGGGTGCATGTCGAAGGCTATTGACGGCCCCTCCGCGGTTTCCGTCACTCGGACAGGGCTTATCGATAACACCTCGGAGCTTACTTTTGTGACTCTACCATCGCCTCCACAACCCGGTTCTGTCACACGCATTGCTTCACACAATGACAGTCCCAATACCAGATCTGACAATCGGCGTGCTCGCCCTCCAAGGCGCTTTCAGCGAACACATCCAGCTCCTCCGCCATGCCTCCACGTCGCTCCCCACCAACCTCAAATGCGCATTCATCGAAGTCCGAACGCCCTCCGAACTCGCCCAATGTGACGGTCTGATAATCCCCGGCGGCGAAAGCACCGCCATGTCCCTGGTCGCGGCGCGCTCCGGACTTCTCGAGCCACTGCGCGACTTTGTGAAAGTGCTCCGGCGCCCAACATGGGGAACATGCGCGGGCCTGATTCTCCTCGCCGAGAGTGCGAATCGCACAAAGAAAGGCGGACAAGACCTGATTGGCGGTTTAGACGTTCGAGTAAACAGGAACCATTTCGGCCGCCAGCAAGAATCTTTCCAGGCAAACTTGGACCTCCCGTTTCTCGGCTCCACGGCAACGATGGCGAAGGAGCAGCCATATAGGTGTGTTTTCATCAGGGCGCCAGTCGTAGAGAAGCTATTGCCGCATGTGAAGGGCGAGCAGAAGGAGGAAGCAGACCTTGATGCGACAATTGTAGCGCCGAGTAAGACGCCTGTGGATGAGTTCGCGAAGAAGGAACTGAATGCGCAAGTCGAGGTCATGGCCAGGCTGTCTCTGAAGAACCCGGGCCTACAAGAGAACCAGGAACATGAACATAAAGGAAAGGAAGACATAATCGCGGTACGGCAAGGAAATGTGTTCGGGTGTAGTTTCCACCCTGAGCTTACAGAGGATGCGCGAATACATGCTTGGTGGTTGGGCGAAGTTGTGAAAGCCGCTGAGAGGAGGAGGCAGTTCGAATTGGTTGATCGGACGAAGTGAAGGCGCAAGGTTCTGTTCAAAGCATAAGCGACTGGCGTTGGGAGGTATGTTTGTTTTGCATTTTGGGCAAGATTGTAAACCTAGAGGAGGCATTTCTTCTGCGAAGCCTAGGCAATTTCCCGCAATTAATGTAAATCTGTGCGCCGAAACTCCACTTATGCCATGGCATACTGAGGGCTTCCAGGCTCCTGCTTGGCAGCCATCGGGTAGCTTGCGGACCACCTAATACCAACCCAGTACAGGTGCAATCGCTTGTCCCTATGAGCCTTCTCGCCGCTCAGTACTCGACTGACGACCCTCTTCTCTAAACCGACGCTATTGTACCTTCGCTGAAAGTCGGCCCACTAGTCGTTGTACTCATCCGCATACGCCTTTCCATAGCCACCCCGACCCGGATCATACTCGTTCCTGTACTCATCCCTGACCTGCCCACCGCTCTTTCCACGCCCATACTGTCGTCCCTCGGCGAATCCCTCGTCCAGATCCGTCCTGATGACGCGCTCATCCAGCTTAGTACCGCCAATGTACTTCATGCAGTCCAGCGCATCCTGATGGGTGTAGTACTCGACGAAGCAGAAGCCACACGGCGTCTTCTGGAACCGATCGAGACCCATGACTAGACGCTTGATTTCGCCGCATTTGCTAAATAGCTCGTGGATCTGCTCTTCGGTGGTGTAGAAGGAGAGGTTGCCGACGTATAGCGTGGTTGCGTCTTTGAGCTTGTCTTCGGGTTCCGGGGACGGTTCGCGGTTCAGAGGCTCATCTTCGCGGTGGCGCTCGCGTCTGCGCTTCTGTTGGAGTTGTTAGCAATCATTGCTGATTGAGCAGTTCGTGTGGTATACCTTCGCGGTTGCGTATGAGCTCGGCTTGTCTAGGCGATCGATTGTGCTCCGTATGGGCGCCATGATGCGCAACGGTTGATGATCCCACTAGAGAGTGTAGCAATGAAGTCCGCGACCGAGATGATGGGGATGGAGAGTCAGCGCAGGCTAGTCTTGGCGTTGGTGTGACGGTTGTTAGGGTGTCGGAGCTGTGATCTTGAGAAGTTGAAGCTCCACGCGGCACGGGCCATGTCAACCTGCAGCGCGTCGAGCTTCTTTCATACCTAGCTCTCACGTTTGTTTGCCTTTACATTTGATCCCTTTCCTCACCTCCGCGAACTCACCTTTACTGCTGGCGCACCGCCAACTTGATCGTCACGACAGGACAGCGTTGTTACCATGCCGAAGGTACTCAGCTACACGCCGAATTGGCTTTCTAGGCCGAGCCCAGGATACCAGCTGTTTGCGCCCAAACAAGCCAACGGCAATGGAGTCGCCGCGAAGAAGAAGAAGGATTTTGGACCACGGAAAACTATTGCAACAAGAGGTTCCGAGGTTTTCGTCGCGGTTGGACACGAGATACGATGGGCAGATTTGGTCAACTTGAAGGAAGGCGTCGAGCCGGCATACCGCACCCTCAGGATATCGATACCGCTACCAATTACGCGTCTCACAATGTCTCCCCAGGAGGACTACCTCGCGGTATCTACGTCACACACAGTACACGTCGTACACCTCCCCGATGCCTCACTCCTCGAAGACGACGATGATAGCCCAATAAAGCCAAAGACATTCCAGGTGGGACCAACCGCACACGTTACCGAGGAGTCGCCGGTCGCAACAACTCTTTGGCACCCATTGGGATATCACGGGCGATGTCTCGTCACAATCACAAAGGCGGGAGTGGTGCGTCTCTGGGAAGTCAACCGAGCCGACCGGTCTACCTTCAGCGAGCCCGCGCTGTCAATCGACCTACCGAAGCTCGCGAACGCGACCAATGACCAGGAAGATCTGAGTGCGTCCAAGTTCGGGGCAGCCAAGGGCTTCTCGCCCGACTCTGTTGACCTGGAAGTGGCATCCGCATGCTTTGGCGACTTTCCTGACCAGGAGGGAGTGCACGGCTGGGCGCCCATGACGCTTTGGATCGCGATGGTTACTGGAGATGTTTACGCACTTTGCCCGCTGCTCCCAAGCAAATGGCAACTGGTCGATTCGCCAGGCGCATTCACGCTGCTACAGACATTGACCTCCTCGATCAACGTGAACTACGCCAACTGCTCAGATGACGCGGATGCATCCCAGGACGAGCTCAAGACATCTGAGAAACAGATTTCTTGGCTCTCTGATATTCTATATGAGGAGCCTTTCATGGAAGAGCTTCCGAACGGCGATTCTATAAAGGTCTTTGCGCGACCGTCAAGTCAATCTGCTGTCCCATTGCTACAAGGGCCTTTCAATGTTGCGCCAGAGGTTGAGGACTACGAGCTCAGCGACATGATTGTCTACTCTTTGAAGACATTATCAGATGGGAGCGAGGAGGAGGCTGCCGAGGGGTTACCGACTGCGGTTGTTTGCTTGCTTACAGATACATGCAAGGTCCATGTCTGTCTGGACTTGCAAGGAATCGTAGGACGTTGGTTGCCATCGCCTGAAGTGAGTCATGTCAGCACACTTCCACGATTATATGCTAATGAAAATTAGGACGAGGTTGAGGATGCAGAGCCACCTGAGCACGACTTGATCATCGCTGAGACCATCACTCTGGTCCCGGGTGAGCAGTCGTCATTCAACCAGAGTATAACACCGGATGTGCACACCGACTTTTCCTTCTTTGTCTCGCATGCCAGTGGTGTGTTCTACGTTTCTTTGGAGCCTTGGATTCGGAAGCTAGAGAACGAGCTCTCGCAGCCGCAAGTTGAGGGCGCGGACTTCCGTATTCAGCGTCTCTTAGAGTCAGCAAACAGTTCGGTTGAGAAGTACCTGCAGCGAAAGCCTGCTGGCTCTCCAGCGGAGCAGGAAGTCACCTCAGCCGTGGTCATTGAAGATGGCAACATTGGCTACCTCCTCCTCACAACCATCGATAACGAGCCTCAAGCAGCTTTCCTTGATGCACCAGAATACGGTCTGCCCACGGAAGAAGAGATTGCCGAGTACATGCACATCAGCGGTCCGCAGAAAGAGGTGCGCGAAGCATGGCAACCGCCGAAGGAGCTGTACGAGCCTATCGATCTACTGGGCTCCATCAACATCCCTTCACGCCACCGAGCCGCCATGAAAGAAGAGGTCAAGCTCTCGCCCGCCAACCTCGAGCTGCTAATGGACGTCCACCGCGTGCTATCCGTCAAGACCTCGAAGCTCCAATACGCCGTCTCCGACCTCTTCAACCGCGCCACGCGCCTGCAAGAAGAATTCCGCGACCAAGTCTGGCGCAGCGCCCAAGTCACCTCCAAAATCGACGCTGTCACCGGCAACGACGAACTCGGCTCCGACGACGGCTCTCTCGCCGGCCGCGCAAAGATCGACGACCGGTTGGAGCGCGTCCGCGCGCGCCAGGACAAAATCAACGCCCGCTACGAAGGCCTGCGCAATAAAATGCACCGCCTCGGCTCCACAGAACTCAGCGAAAAGGAGGCGAATTTCGTCGAAGAGTTGTCAGCCATGGATGGCGCGCTGGACAAATCGGGCGCGACGCTGACCGGGGATGTGGATGGCGCGCAGGACCCGACATGGCAGCGCGTCGATAGGATTAAAGACTTGCACAAGAAACTCGCCAAGGACGTCGAGCAGGCGACCAAGGACGTCGTGAAGGATGCGCAGGGCAGGAGCGACGGTATGAAGGTCCCGAGCCACTCGCGGAAGCAGGAGACAGAGCAGATTTCAGATTATCTGGGCAGGTTGACGGTGTTGGTCGAGGCGGCGGCGCAGAGGCTGAGGACGGAGGGAATTGCGATTCCGGTAGAGGAGAGCTAGATGACTTGGGAATAGTGTCTTGGGTCGGGGTTGAGTATTGCGTGAGCGTAGTGAGGACTATTGAATGGAATTGTTGGATATGTTCAGACTCGTATTTGGTGATTGGTGATTGGTGATTGGTGATTGGTGATTGGTAATTGGTGATTTGTTGTGATTTTGTGCTTCCGTCGTTACCAGGCCTGTGGGTGCTTCGTGATTCGATTCGAGTAATCGTATCGACTGACTCCATCGCAACATAGATTGTCCTTGACGAAGACTACACATTGGTGCAGTAGTCTAGGATGTTCTATTACGATATCAAGGGTTGCGGAATATTCACTTGAAGGGCATCAGGCGAATCAATTGGCACCTTCGCAAATACTATATTTTGGCGAGGTATCATAGGATCCTTCATCAGTATGTCTAGTGTTGCGGAGGAGTCACTTAGATATAACCAGATGAATCAATAAGCGCAAGTCAATTTTACAAATATCACGACGCTCCTTCTATTCACACCATGTTCTTTATTATTCGCTACTTCCATTTCTTTCATCTAGGTCTTTGGTACTCACAATTGCCATGTTGTATTTTGTAATCTCTCGCTATCTGTTTCAATCACAAGATAACGACGGCATCGATGACAGTTCTCACTTCACATGACAGCGCCTCGGCATCTCCTCAAACGCCAACTTCACAGTCGCTATAGTGTAAGTAATGAGAGACAAGGATATTTCATCGCCGTAAGTTTCGATCTCGAGAGACAAACTGCATCGATGGCAAGATCCAAGCGCGAACTATTGAAACGAGAAGTCAATCGGGGGAAACGACGCTCTTACCTCGTCATTTAGCAGTCGCTGTAGTAAATGACGCGAGGCGTTGAGATATCTCATCGCCATGAGTTTCGATCGGAAGACAGACTCCTTCGATCCTTACCTGACAATGCGCCGGCACACGAGCAAGAGTCGAAGTCTAGTCAGTCACTGCCTTCATGGTCGCTATAGTGAATGGTGTGAGGCGTTACGGGAGAGTGTTTCGATCGGCCATCGACGGTAGAAGACAGTTGACATGACAGCGAGCCAGCTTCTATAAAAAGTTCTGCGTTTGCGTAGTTTGACGCCACCTTCACAGTCACCATAGGGAACATCAACCCGGCGTTTCGACCACAGGACACAGACTGCGCCGCCAACAGTTCGCACGTTCATACGAGCAGTAAGAGAGGTCCGAGTTCTTGTCGCATGACATTGTGTAAGAATTCTCAAGGTAATCGTGTCGGACACCCCACCTTCAAAGTTCGCAGTCGCTATGGAGAACGACATGAGGGGTCGCGACATCTCGTCGCCGTGTGTTTCGCCTTATGAGATTGTAGGGATCATCCTGGGTAGCGCATCGCGCCGAGTCGGCGGCCAATTGGGCGCGCACGCAGGTTCTTCTCCGCGAAGATTGATTATTTGTCTGCGTTCATGCTTGTGAAGAGGTGAGTTGTCTGCTGGGGATCTGCAGGGTCCAGATTGAGGGTGCACGTCATTGTGCTGAGCTGGCGATGTTTCTGTCCGACTGGACCCAGACTTCGTCATCTTACGCCGCTTAAGACTCCCACGTTAATCAGCCTAGAATGCCGATGCCGTACAACACCAAAGCTGACAGCTGAATTGTAAGTTTTGCATCACCATAGCGATCGGGCTTACAAACGTTCTTGCTCACGCGCTGAAACCTTGCGAACGTGAGGCTGAGGCAAAGTGCACGACATTCCTCGCCGTTGTTGACTTGGAATCCGAAACACGGTAACGGTGCGTCCCGCCGTTTCGAAAGGTCCTTTGGCCGGGAAGTTGGAAGTGCATGGAAGTTGACTGGCTGAAACAGGTTTGTTGTTGGCTGTGGGCGTTTAGGGGTCCAGGTTTGCACGTGGTGGTCGTGGCGTTGTCCGAGAGGGGTCCTGATGCGCACCTGAGGCAGGTACGACGGACTGGTGCAGGTACACCTGTCACAGACGTCATGAGGCTGCAGTAGATATTGACCATGTGAGGAAATCCCCGCTTTGTAGTATGATCTAGAGCTTTGGTGGGACTCGGTGGGACTTGGTGGTCCACGATTGATAGCCTGGCGCGCTTTTAGTGCTACACAGCTGGACTTGAGGTCAGCCCTTGTACGTCATGAATTGTCCCCATCACCACAGGCAGCGCAATCGATGAAAGAGCAGCTGATCGATGAACTCAAAATCACATCGAGAACTTTCAGCACAACACCCCAGCATCTGGATGTCAGAATCGATAGAGTTGTGATGCTGCCTAGAAAGTTCGGCTGCCGTTTCGGATTGTTGTGGTTGTCAAAACAAACAACAAACAATTGTTGCGGTCGCTGCATTTGTCCATGTGGTTACCAACGTGGAGATGAATTCATGCTGGTTTCAGCCCTTTCCATACCAATCTGATTGCAGATTGACAGGACACCATCTGGAGGAATTTTAGGCAGGTGTCCGCGGCGCCATAGCAAAGGGATTGCTCTGCGGAGATGATGGCGCTATTACACGAGAACGACATCCGGGACGGCCGACTGTCCCGATGGGTCGTACCAATCGTCCTGAACACGTCTGTCGTTTTTGAGGGTTGGACCTGGCTGCTTGTGACCCCGCGAACGTTTGTTGGCAGTTGAAAGCACCGAAGAGCGTCATCGGATATGATCATCGCAAGCGCATCCCAGCTGATTGCTTCTGTGCATAATCGATAGAAGAAACAATCGATAGCAAAAGCCACCGAGATGCTGCAGCAGCAATCATAATGTGGAGAACTAAGACGGTTTGCCGCTTAGGCGGCGGCCCGCCCAGGCCAGCGAACTCGATGGGGGACCGTATCAGCCCCTTTTTTGCATGATGAAGCTAAGATTGCACCAATTTGGATGGGCAATGGACTGGTATTGGAATAGGGGGGCCCTGCCGGTAGTCACGGCGCGGACTCGTAACGATGAGGGTCGAGCGTCGAAGGAGTGCCCAACGCCGTGGGTGAAGGTTGATCGAGCATGGGTGTGTGGCGGCGATATTTTGGTCGTGTTTTGGCATGGGTCCCAATGTAAACAAACACAGCTGCTAAGCGTCGGACGCAGCATTACACCAGCGATTCGCGGTGCAGCAGACGAGAAGAGGAAGGGTATTCGTGACGACCTGCGTGTTTCGCGCTGTGCTGCGCTGTGCTCCATTCTCGAAGCTGCTTCATTCTGTACCTGGTGGAGTTGGATTCATTCGCTGAGGCGGCTCGCAGCCGTGTGGCCTGCAGGTGGTCCCCCGATGTGGTGATGCCCGTGCGCAGTGCCGAAAAAGACACCAGTGCTCTCGACGCGCCGCGTCTCTTCTCATAAACATCGACCGATCCTAGCGAACTTCAGAAGGTTCCCTCAATCGCTCAAGCTCCGGCCATCCCCTCCAGGTCGCCTCATCACAGCTGCATCGCGCCTTTCTCGAGAGTTGAAACGCGCCTGCCGGTTGTGGTTGTGTGTTTACCTCCGGCTACCTACGCGCAACACCTGCATTCCAAGGCCCGCCAGCCACATCACGACACACGAGGACTCGGCTCCGCATTCATCAGCGAATACCATCACACCACGCCATTGCCAACACTCCTTCTCCACCTCCACGCCGCATTCGTAGGCCTTGCATGGAGGCACAGCGGATTTCTTCGGTCGTCGCTTGTTGAGGAGGAACGTCGCTCGAAACGAAATTCAGGCACATCGGCGCGCAGCTACACCACATTCCACGCATAACGCATTCATACCACCGCGCGCTTGTCCGGCTTCAATCACCGAGGGCTGCTATCGCTATCGATTGACACCAACCTCATTCATGTATACAGCCTCCGCCCGGACGACAGCCTAACGACGTCGTAACGAACCTCGCTTCTCGACACCACGAGGTCCTCTGGCGCCCAGGACCAAAACACCTCCGAGTGTCTTACCCCACGTTATCCGCCTTGCAACAACACGCGCCCCCATTCACTCGCATTCACCACCATGGACTTTGGATTTTCGCCACATCGGGAGGGCGGGACCCTGCACCTGCCGTCGCCGACCCATCCCCATAGTTACCGTCTCGAGGGCACCCATTTCTCTCACCTCCAGCAACTCCGCCGCTCGCTTTCCCGCTCGCCATCCAAACAATCGTCCAAGCCCTCGCGCTTCCAGCTGCGCAACACCGACTCCCCGCGCTCCCCGCTCTCACCACTCGGCCTAGCACGCGCATTCAGCCCCAAGGCCCACAAGCCTACCAGCCCGACTGCGACATATCCGGAGTCACCCTTGGGCGCGCAGGCAGCACCCGCGACCAAGCGCTTCTCTCTGCGCCGCTCTCAACCTTTCCGCGCATCCCCGCGCACCCGCAACAGCAAGTCGAAGAGCCCGCGCCGCCCGCTTGGAGACTCGACCGACACAGGCAACTCTACCACGCCGTTCATGGCGCGGCCC